ACCGACTGATTCAAGCTGATAGAAGAGCAACTTTGACTGAAACAACCACTCGTTACAACCGAGGTATGCAGCAAAGCATCTGTGAAGCCACAACACGCACAACCTTGAGGCGGATGGGCTACAACAGCAGAAGACCCCACCAGGTACCACTCATCTCCACTACAAATAGGAAAAAGAGGCTACAATTTGCAAGAGCTCACCAAAATTGGACAGTTGAAGACTGGAAAAATGTTGCCTGGTCTGATGAGTCTCGATTTCTGTTGAGACATTCAGATGGTAGAGTCAGAATTTGGCGTAAACAGAATGAGAACATGGTTCCATCATGCCTTGTTACCACTGTGCAGGCTGGTGGTGGTGGTGTAATGGTGTGGGGGATGTTTTCTTGGCACACTTTAGGCCCCTTAGTGCCAATTGGGCATCGTTTAAATGCCACGGCCTACCTGAGCATTGTTTCTGACCATGTCCATCCCTTTATGGCCACCATGTACCCATCCTCTGATGGCTACTTCCAGCAGGATAATGCACCATGTCACAAAGCTCGAATCATTTCAAATTGGTTTCTTGAACATGACAATGAGTTCACTGTACTAAAATGGCCCCCACAGTCACCAGATCTCAACCCGATAGAGCATCTTTGGGATGTGGTGGAACGGGAGCTTCGTGCCCTGGATGTGCATCCCACAAATCTCCATCAACTGCAAGATGCTATCCTATCAATATGGGCCAACATTTCTAAAGAATGCTTTCAGCACCTTGTTGAATCAATGCCAACTAGAATTAAGGCAGTTCTGAAGGCGAAAGGGGGTCAAACACAGTATTAGTATGGTGTTCCTAATCTTTTAGGTGAGTGTACATATGTAGGCCTATCCCTTACTTAGCCTATATCACTCAGTGATATTTTTAAAGTTGGATATATAGTACATCCAACTGAACGTGAGTTCTTTGTGTACAGTGGTAAAGCAATACCATATAGCAAATCTTGGCAATGTGATTGTTTATATTGTCGCAAAATGTAACAATATTATCGCACAGCACTCTATATTGTTGGATATGCGACTGAATATAGCTATACTCAGGTAAAGCGATATATACTAGTAAATCTCAACTGCTCAATTGTTTATATCATCGTAAAATATGAACTATATATTATCGCACGGCTATTTATGAAGTTGGATATAGAGTATACAGTGGGCTTGTAAATATATCCAAGTTAACCTGCATATTGGCCTACTACTCACGTAAGGTGATAGTCTAGCAAATCTCAACTGTTTGATCTGCTAAATGTGACTATTGCATGAATATGCTAAAATATTATAAACATTAACATACATTTTCTGTAAATCTGCTTTGAAACAGTATTGTGAAAAACACTATACAAATAAACAGACTGATCTCATGAAATGGCGTATGTATGACACGCCAATTCATATTTCCATTTTTGGCGTGCTATCAACACGTATAATCGCTTTTCAGCGTGTTTATCAACGCCGTTGACTTAACGTTACATTACTGTATATATTTGCATGACCTACCCCAACCCCGTCCCTAAACCTACCCGTCACTGGGGTTAATACCATTTATGAGTGTTCCCCTACCATCCTAGGAAACAAAATATCGCTCCCCAGATGTAGATCTACATTTTGCTTCGTTTCGCTCGGACATTTAACGGCGTGAACATACACGCGGAATCACTCGGACATTTAACGGCGTAGACATACACGCAAAAGATGACGGTTCGTTTCGGCGTGGACATACACGCCGTCGCCGATAGCTCAAAATGCGTATAACACGCCACTTGACTTGAAAGTGACGTGTATGTTTACGCAAAGTCATGATGCCATGTTGAAATAAAACTTTTCTTCAGTATTGTGAATATATCTGACTGGATGAATGGATTATTGGAAATTAAAAAAATGTTGAGTAGGTAGGGACTTAAGTTCTGTCCATCGGTTGTTGATTGGATGGAGGCAGATCTGAATGTAAGCTTGCGGTCGACTGTAACAAAGGGTTTATGTTGAATAAATGATTAGACAAATCTGTAATTTCACCAGAATATCCAGTTATGAAATTTTAATAAAAAATTACAAGATCAATTAATTTTTTTTTAAAGGATGCACACATGAATCTTTCACAATAATATCAAGAACATATATTTAGAAAATAGAGTGAGCATTAATTTCATATGGCTAGTATAGTAAGAATTCTTAATTCAGCTGTTTTACCTTAACTGTTGAATCTTTGTTGAAGAGTAGAAACATGTTCATATGACTATCATAAGTTCATACGCTGCTTTAAAATAAAATAAAAAATCAAGTTCAAGTTAAGGACAAAAGAAAATTGTTGGTATTCCCTTATGTGTCTTACTAAAATTCAAGCCTGCAGTCTGAGAAACCATAAACGCATGTTGGGGAAGTTTGCCGTAGACATACAAGCCATTATCATAATAATTGTCATTATCGCAATAGCAATATCCTTTTTAATGGCATATTAGCTAGATAAATAGGCAGAGTAACATTCAAAATGATTTACATCTCCATTTAACTAAATGTACCCTCGTCGAATATTTAAGTGCAGAATCTAAGTTTGTTCGGTGACCACGCGTAGAAGCTTTTGAAATGAGCAAATCTCATCCCCACTAAACATGCTGACTCACTATCTCGGGTGGTGATAAAGAGCTCATTTTCTCATCACCACTCCAGCACTCAGTATCTGTCAGAGCCAACCAGGCCTCATTTAATCAGATTCTCAGTTAGAAAGGAAGAAACTCAGGGTTAGGTGTGTCCAATGCTCCCCGCTAGCTGAAATGCCAGGATGAAATATCTCTAGCAGTCTGCGATAGAAAGCTAAATACTCTATCCTCGCAGGAGGCACATGGTGTCTGCTGTCTTTAATGAAGCGTGCTTACTGCTTTCAGCCCCACCTGAGAAGAGTTAGGGGCTAGAAAAATACACTTTTTGGTTTCAGTAGGGGGGAGATATCTTTTCCTTTGTGGTAGATATATAAAAAGTGAAGTAAAAAATAGGTCAAGCATGATAACATTAATCTCGAAGACAATAATAAACAGGTGAGGGCGCTTCTTTGGTGTATTATATAGTGCACCCTAGCACTGTGCCACACATGTGACTTGATATCCAGACTTTGAATTTCATGTTTAGGTTTACCGCTGTGTCAAAGCATCATGGAAGATGGCTTGTGTTATGCTGTGGTCTAGTGTTCAAAGAGATGAACTACACCTAGTCTGTGTTCACTATAATGTGTCAACGAATGTATTGTGATAGCTTTTGAGTTTGCACAGGCAGACATTACTCTTATTTTCTTTAGAAAATGTAAAAGTCTAGTTAATGTACTCTCTTTAAAAAAAAGAGGTTAATTTGTGATCTATTTAATAGGATTATCCAATACTTATAAATAAGGAGAAATAGCAACACTGGCTCTGCCAATGTGGTGAGTCTGGGGCAGGGCTTTCAGTTTGTTTAACCAATAGAAGGAGGTTGTGTTCCAGAAACATATTCCTTAAGTCATTGGCTGAATTTAGAATAGCAAATTAGCATGCAATGCTAACTACATCTTTTTTGGCAAGAATTTCACGACGTAATGGATGAAAACTATATTAATGCACAGCTCTATACAACAAGTTGGATACATAAGTATATGTAACTTCATCCGCATATACTCAGGTAGAGCGATGTATACTATTATAGTAAATCATTCTCAACTGTTGCCAAAATGTGCCAAAAGGTTCTATATACAGGTCAAAAGAAATATCCTAATAATTGCATAATACTTTCATGTTTAAATGGGTTATTTAATTTCTTTCTAGTGATAAAGTGTGTTTACAAGCTGTTTAATTAATAACATTTAATTAAAATAAAAAATGAGTTGAAACAAATGAATTGAAATTAAATCCATAAAATGATCCCATGACGGGAACCAGTAGCGGCTCCTGGCTGTAAATTTAGGTAGAGCAGATTTTAGGTCTTTGGCATTAATGGTGCTTTTTTTCACTTTTGTTTTTGGCTCTAAAAGTAAGAAATTAGACTGACTGGTGCCAAAAAGGTCTCCTTGCACCAAATTGCAATTGAATCTTGGCTGCCAGCTGTGTTTATAACCCTTCTGTGAGTCATAATAACTGAAAGACTCACCATCAGCCAGCTGCTTTTTACATGAATAGAGTTACTGTGCTCTCAAAATTACCATTAAAGCTGAGCAAGTCATTTTAAATAGTTATAGCCATTGAACACTAGCCTATATAATTTGTAAAATACAGTTTTATGACTAATGAAGTGACTAATAAAATGGCATTATGACTAATGAAGCCTGAAGTACTTCTTTTTCAAACAGGAATAATAGCTTATAGTCTTACATAACATATTGCATCAACTCATTCACCCCATGAAAATTCACGAAGAACAAATAAGCGGCAACCTGTTTCTCCACTCCATCTTATTTCTCCAGTCTGACAGCAGGCCTCTGACTCACACAGGATCTACGTAATGAATGATCTATGTGAAGCTACCCGCTGAGACTGATAGAGGAGGGGGAGTGTGAACAGCCTCTAAAACTCCATACTTGAACAAACTTTAACAGGAGCGAGTAATATTTAAAGTAAGTGGAAAATAACATTAGCCCCTTGCCCTTTCCAATTTCAATTCAATTTTGTAACATTTTGCCATTGGATGAATTTGAACAGATTTATAGTTTTAGTCTTATTTTTTATTGTAAAAAATATAAAAAGTCACCAAAATCAAACTAATACACATACAACAGCAATGTACTATAGCAGTAAAAACATTCTTAGAGTTCAAATGCTGTGCACAAAATCAGAAACAAGCTTTACAAGTGTCACATGACAGGCATCTAAAATGTTTTGGTTCACAGCAATAACTGAGGCTGCAGGATCACTTATAACTGTTTGTCATGCAAAACAAATAAGTATCCATACTAGTAAAACAATAACGTGTAACTATACTGTAATACACAGTAACAAGCACTGTCACAGAACAGAAATATACTGTCATAAAGGCACATATGTCAGTTGATATCACAATATGTAAAATAATGTTAAGAAATACATTGTAACAAGGAAGAGAAATGTCTAGGTTGTGCTAAATAACAGGATTGGTCTGTACTTTTTTAGTTTAGATGATACTGGCCAACTCTGTCTACCCAGAATCCTCAGAGACAATCAAGAGTGCTGACAACTTCCTGGAACACCTACAGGATAGGGAGGGTAAAAACAGAGTTTGAAGATGAGAAGACAAAACTTCCATACCTTAGGCTAAGTGAATGGATATATCATTTTTATATATATTTATTAACATTAAACTCACTTGCAAGTTTGTAAACAAATAAGACAGTGCAATGAAAAGCTTTCGCTCACGTTCACTATATCGCCAGCAATGAATCGCTTGACCTACATGAGCAAAAAGAGATTCTCTTATTGGTCATTTTATTACCCGTTTACTGGAAAACATGCCTACAGGAAATGCAGACTTGAAATAAGCGACAACTAATTCAAAGGATCATATTATTCAAACACACTAATGAGACCTACCTTGGACTTTCTGTTGAAATCCACCAGCTGCATTGCCAATGCAGAAGCATCCCTGCTCAAAGCTGATCTGATCATATTTTTCAATGTTTGCTAACAAAGTGCCATTTACAGGCAGGTATAAAGTGCTTCCATTGGGCTCCCAGCTCTCAGAGTAGTACACACCTCTCTGGCCATCAATCGAGACAAAACCACCTAGAGGTAAGACAACTCGCAGGAGTCAAATCCATTACATTTACGATTAAATGTAGACTTATTTTATCAATGTAGTAAATCCTATATCAGATTAATCAAATTTTAAAAGGATCTATAAGCCAACTGGAACTATAAAATGCCAGATTGATGCATGTTTAGGTTTATAGTTGGAAATACTTAATGCATATTGTATTAGCAATTGTAGGAGATAAAATATGAATGTACAGAATAATCTATACAGATACAATTAGTTGTCCGTTTGTATTAAGTCATTTAATGCAATTATTTTCAATACATACATTTATATTAATGTTTTAATTATTTTTAAGACTTGGGAGACCTAAGTTCAAAATCTGGTTTTGTATTAAACTCGACACATAAGGATTTTGCCTCAACTAAGAGCCATACTTACGTTTCTTCAAGCTCTCTTTGGAGGGAAACACTCTAGGACCAACCTCTTCGTTACCATTAAAATTATTCCCATCATTTCGTTTACGTTTACTGGGTAAACAGATGGGCGACATTTCAGTAAATCCATTAATCCATGTCATATGTGTCTGACAAACGTTACTGGACAGTGGTCCATTAGGGTCCATGATTAACTATACACTACAGTAATGTGGACTTTTTGTATGTAGCCTATAATTATTACATGCAGCTACAATATTCGTGCCTTTGAAGCATTCGGTGCCACACAGGATAACTTACTAAATAAACGCCAGGATATCTGTGGCAGTGTCTATATGAAATAATTTTAAAACGACACAAAGTAAATAATGTCATTAGTTTACTAGGATATGTCTTTCGTTACAGAGACAGGCGATTGACAAGCGCGAACCAAAAATCAAAACAATGAGCCGTGAAGGAGTGTTCTTTTATTTTTTGCCTGATTTAAATGGTTAATTTTTAGTGTTTTTTCTGAAATATATGCTAGAAATCTTTGAATATATTCACTTTTAAGTACTATAAAATGTTATTATAAAGGGAACGGGTTATTTAAAATCATGTATTGATTGTAACAATACCAAATTTACTATCAGGCACAACGTCGTGGGCTAACAGCGAGGGTCCTAGCAGCAGATCCTATGTGACGTATTTCCCTTTTCGCATGCCTCTTGGATTGAATGTGGCTTGGAGCTATCATTTGAGTCACATATAATCTTTTATTCCAGCTTTAACATGTTTAAAATCGAGGGACTTGGGCCGAAGATGGACCCGGAAGAGATGAAGAAGAAAATGCGCGAGGATGTCATCACGTCTGTTCGCAACTTTCTAATTTATGTTGCGCTTCTGCGACTCAGTGAGTATCATCAATGCGCTTCTTGCATGCATTTGGTTAGATTAGATGTGCACGTGTGATCGTAAAAACTGAAATGATGTTCGTTTCTTTTTACTGAGTTTCTCGAGGCACCGTTTGAGACGTTCTGATTGATGATATTCCGCATACTATCAATTATGTGGTCACTATGCATATGAATGACAGAGGTCACCTTTGATGTATATTATAGGCAGTGTGTATAGTTAGAACTGATTAAACTCTGAATCAAGTAGAGCGACGTCTCTTCATGTCGATCAAAAGGTTTATGTTAATAAGTGGCTTTTTGTTTTTCAGCACCCTATGTTTTGAAGAAGCTTGACAGCATATGAAACTTCACCATGGACAGAAACATTCCCTGTACAGATGAGCATGCAGGACCTGGACGACGCTGCACAGTCACTTACAACGGCAGTTACAGTTTAATGATGAGATACTGTAACTTCATGTTCTTTTTTTTTTACTAGTTGCAATTGAATGTACTTAAATTTGTTCTCATCCAATCTCAATTGCATACAAGAGATGTCTACCAGAATGTTGGCATGTTCACTAAGGTCTAAGCAATAAATCTTTCCGTTATTCCCTTTGACAGAGTTGTTGAAACTTGAACTTGGATCATAAAGCAGAGATTTATACGATTTGCTTCAATATAAATAAAAACAATCCCAGAAGTGTTATGAGGCTAAAAACTGAACATGGATTAAATTATTTCATTGAAAATGTCAAATTATGTAATAACTATGTCATTCACATTGTATTCAATTCCTGATGTTTAGAAAAAGTGACTCAGCTACTTGAAATGTGCTTCTCCATGAGATGCCAAATACAGGAGTTTCGATAAATCTATTATTGTTGCATAATAAACACCATATAATTCATTCAATGTTTTTAATCAACAATTTGGAGGGTATTAATGCCATTTGAATTGAGTGTTGAATGACTTCAAATGTGAAATATCACAGCAGAAAAAATGAGCAAGATAAACGCATCAAAGCATGTTATTCCAGTTATAATAGAGATTATCCAGGTGAAATAATTCTAATGTGTTTTATCCACTTTAATCTCATAAAGTTCATGTAGTGCATTTAATGGTTAGATGTCACAGTACTGACTTTTTTCTGTTAGTATAAGGCACAAGCAAGAGCACTACATTTTCAGCTCACTGGGCATTTCAGAGCCTGTCAAGCCTGCCAGCAAGTTGTTTGCAGTGAGTTCACTCATGACACCACGTGTGGAGTAGGTAGCGCTTCCGATATGAGGGAGGACCACTGTAAAACAGAATAAAAAACAAGTTAGACCAGGTTTTTTTCTACAATGATATGACTTACTGAGATTTAAAGCTCACCACAGTTTTTAAGAGTCAGAAGTGGGTGGGCAGTGGGCAGAGGTTCAGGGGTTGTGACGTCAAGCCCCGCTGCTGCAATCCGACCACTGCTGAGGGCTTCAAACAAGTCCTCTTGATTCACAACTGCCCCTCTAGAGAAGGGAGAATACAGTATTTTTCAGTCTAGTTAGGAATTATTTTTTTTTGAGGGGGAGGTTATAGCAATAATGAATCAAACAAGTTCCACTTGTGCTCTGTTTTCACTAGTGAGGTATACCTGCTGGTATTGATAAAGATTGATGTTTTCTTCATCTTGCTGAAGAATGTTTTGTCACAAAGGCCCTGAGTGTCAGGAGTCAAAGAACAGGACACCACCACAAAATCACTCTCACTCACCAGATTGTCTAATGGCACTGCGAGAGAGAGGGGAAGATGAGACAAGAGGCCATGATACAACCTTCATATCCCTTCTAAATAACCTTAATGCATACATGGTGTAGCATCTGGACCAGTCAGACACACAATTATTCATTATAGTTCATTAATAATCTAGCAAACCCCCTCGCCCAAAAAGCAATTGCAACTTCAACCCCATCAACTCATGGAACCATCAAGACTTTCATCCGGACGCTCGTTCAATGGCTAAGGCATAGCAAGTATCGTACAATTAACTAACTAAACAGGTTTAGTGTAAGCGGTAGACCCCTTGTTAAAGTGTTTTAAACTAAGAAATGGATGGTTCAGATGGTTAAATGACTGTTCTATAGCTTCATTCCCTGTTTCTGTCTCCAGTTCTGTCTTTCACTTTCCATTTTACCCATGTATGTGTCGATTGTGTGTATGTGTTTGTTTATGTGTTCGAGATTTAGTTAAATAAAACTTGTGTACACATTCATGCGAGTTGATTTTGGTCACTACTTGTTCTTTTTCTGTGGCCATGAAAAATATAATTCCTGAGAGTTGATAGATGATCAACACAGTGTTCGCTGGTCAAACAGATTCATTGTAATCTGTTGTAAACAGGTTGTAATATTAGTTCAGCTACATTAAAGGCAGGGTAGGCAGTTTTTTTTCTATAACACTTTTTCCCAAATTTGTTTAAACTGTCTTTATATACCAATTCATGTTTAAAATGTAAGTACTCTGAAAAGGAGAGTATTAAAAAACGAGTGTCTGTAGTCCTCAGGGCTGCAATAAACACAGCTACTTATTCCATTCGGAACGAATGAAATGATTGGCTGGGCGACTGTCACTCTCCCTCGCTACCATGGCTACCACCCCTATGGAGCGAATTATGTGCCAAAATTAAACAAACAAATCCAGCATTTTGCAAACAAACTCGATCTGCTTTGCAAAGGAAAACTCGACTCGCAAACAAACAGAAAGCAATTTGCAAAAACAAAGGTCAATTTGAGCAAAAATGCAGTGGAGTAACAAATATTGTGTTTTACAAATATAAATAAAAATGATCCTTGATAATATTTCACAAATAAATACAAACCATCCTACAAATTGCATGTAACCTTTGAACAAATACCAAATCTAGTGCATACAAATGCATATCTGTCTGTTACGATTGTGAGATCTCTCGGCTCGATTTTCTCACAAATGTGTCCAGGCAGATTTTCTCATAAATGCAGATGAGTAACTTCCTCTTCTAAAACAGTAGATGGCGCTAAAATAGGGGATTAAATTAGCGCTAGTCTCCCGGGAGAAGCACTGATTTGAAACGCGCTTGCCTTTGCCTACAGCTGAGGAAAAAGTTTCGGTCTTACTTTATTTTAACTTTATATATATATTCTGTCCTACTTTATTTTCACTTTCACAAAAGTGAAAATCAGCGAAGAAATTACTAGAGTTGCCAAGTTCCCCTTTAAATATGTATTGGTATATAAAGACAGTTAAAACAAATTTGGGGAAAAGTGTTTTAGAAAAAACCTGCCTACCCTGCCTTTAAGTTAATTCTATTAACTGACCCAAATATTTAGAATGAATTATACCAAGTTACGATTAATTATTCATATTTCCCTTTTGAGCTAATCTGCTACAATGGAGTGGCATGAAGCAATTTCTTTTCTTTTCCTACCATATTCCCCATCAACCTCTTGGGCCTGAGGTTTGGGCTGTCTGCCGGTGTACAGCAGTCTCTTCACACCAAACGGCTTCAGTCGCCTTGCAATGGCCAAACCTACAAATCACAGATTAAACAGAAAATCTATCAGGCCCAATAGACAGAATGCTTTTCATTTGTGAAAATGTATTTCTCCCTATAATGATATTGTCGGATAAAACTGGTCTAAAGTGTTCACTTTAGTTCTTCATCGTTTTAACAATATAAATAGGGCGATGTCTTCAATTACCCTGAGAGATTACACTACATATGGTAACAAGGTTACCCATGTTAAGTGGCTTGTTTGCACTATAAATGTCATTGAATTTGTCACTGAAGTAAAACAACAGATGGTGTACGTATCAGAGCAGATGCATTTGTAGTTTATTTATGGTACTACTGAAGGGAGGAAAAATTAATCCTTCATGCCGTACCTATGCGGCCCAATCCAATCACCCCAACAGTACTGCCCGAAAGACCATAACCACACAGCCACAGAGGCTTCCATGTACTCCAGCCGCCACTGAGAGAGATTGGGAAAATATGAATATTCAATTAATATAATAATATAAAAATTAGATATAGGTAATAAATTATTACTGACCGTTTTAAATTCCAAGATTTTGAATTGATGTATCAGTGCAAATCTCTTTATTTTTTTATTTATTTATGTGCCCTCATAATCTTTAATCTAAATAACTTCCCCCTCCCTCTTGCATCTCTTCTCTAAAGACTTGTTAACTGGCACGACGACGGGACAACCTGTCACTCACATGAAATCACAGGGGGGAAAAAACACAACGATCCAATCAATTCCTGATGAACAAAATCATGACTCGCCCTACATTTTCTCTTGTTTAAGAAACCATTTTGTTTATGGCTTAAGATTATGTAGAGCATTCGGATCGGTTCCTCTACAAAGCTGTGATATGTCATATGATGAAGTAGAAAATGTGTCTGACTTACTTTTTCACTTCTTCTACACCCTCAGGAAGACGTCGGGCAGTGGCCAAGAGCAGAGCCACTGTTAGCTCAGCAGTAGCATCCGTCAAAACATCAGGAGTGTAGCCTACTCTTATCCCTCTGGGATGAAGAAAGAGAGTATATGCGTTAAAATTGTATGGACATTCTTACTGATCAATCATAATCGATCCACTGTGTCATCTTGTCACTTTCTGGGCTTACAAAAAACACAAACTCACCGTTTCTTTATCTCATCTATAGCAAGGTGGTCAAATCCAACAGAGAGTGTGCTGATCACTTTCAAGTTGGGTCCTGAGCATATTTAATATGTGTGTTATCAATATTACCTAATCAGTATCTTCACCTGCAGTTGTTCTACAGCTTAAACAGGGGTTTGCCTTACCAGCCGCATCCAAGACCTCAGTATCAATTTTGTCTGAGAGTAAACAGAGAATCCCGTGAGCACCTGCCACCCCCTTCAGAAGTTCTGCCCGGGGCACAGGCTCATCTGAGTCCCACACTGACAAATTACACCTGCACATAACGGGGAACAACAGAGGCATCTAAATCAACGAAAAATGCTCAGATATTTACAAGTAGTTTCATTTCAATCATGTTGTGCAACGTTGTTTGTCAAATATCAACGTGTGCAATAAGGCTCGTGACGAAACAGTGTGACGTTTTACATTTAGACTGTGAGCATGCTAAGCTCACTGGGGTAACTTTAAATGCAGGAGTTAAGGCAAACTCTTGTATCTGCCTCTAAAGATCCTTGAGGTTCACATGCTGCCAATGAACACGTAGTTTTGACACAAGCTACAGTACCACAGAGAGCATCTCAGATATTTTATACATACAAAATTTGCATATATTGCATGCATACTACTAGACAATATAAAGTTTCGTACAGGCCGGCTTTTTGGAGTATTTTCATGCCCTCCTGGGGAATGCGTCTCGTGACGAACACTTTCAGAATCTGCTGTGCGCTCATCCTGCACAATTAAAGGTTAAACGGATGGAATAATAATCAGATATATTTCCCTTCGAAACTGGTAACAACAGAAATCCAGAACAGACTTCCCCTATATTTACAATGGATGCAAAGGTGGGAAGCACTAAAGAACGTTACAGTGAGCTAGAGTCTCGCTCAGCAGGCTTTAGCGCCATCTAGTGGAGCGGATGGACAAGGCAACTGCGGTTGTTTGCTTTTCTGAGGAACTTTCATTCGGATGAAAATTTGATAGGGTTTGAAAATGAACTGTAAATTGCGACAGGTACATTTAACGTTGGTCTTTTTAATGTTAAAATTTTTTTGTTTGTTTTGCTGGAAATGTATTTTACTCGTAGGGGGTACGTTTCGTTTCGCCGTGTATGTTTTGCGGCTATGTGTTGGGCTTGTTTAATTTTCATTTTCTGCAGGTTTTGAGGTGTTTATTGACTTTAGTTCATCGCGAGTGTGGTGAGTGTAAACGGACAGGAGGTTTGATGGTTGTCACAAGGGCGCTCTGTGAATCTCCGGCAATTTTAACCGGTAAAAAAAAGTCATTCTGACTTATTAAACAAATTTCATTTTGTAAGCTTGATAAATGAATTTAATGATTTGTATTAATGTTTAATTCATCGTGGCAATCGTTGTCTTTCATAGTATCTGCTGCTGGAGCTTGGTGTAGCAAAGTTTCTACTTCTGCTTTGAAGGGTAACGTTAGCCTACTAGTGTGTACTAACGGCCTATACACTGATAATTGTACCTGTGAATAGGTTCAGATTCACGCTGGTTCTTCTGTTTTCCTTTTTTAGAGGCTGTGGAAAGACTTTCTTTACAGGTCCCACCTTGTGAGTGTGTTCATCAAGAAGAGCTTCAGAGGTTTACTGATAATTTTGGGTCTTTGTTTTTCACCTATTCTTTTCACGTAAGTGCTTCCTTACTGAATAATCTATCAGTAAATTTGTATTTGGCAAAATAAATTTGGCTTTAATTCTCATACTATAGTAATACTGTGTTTACTTTTTTCATGTACTGTATACTGGTAGTCACAAATTATGTGTAATTTGATTTATCTTCATTTTAAAATGTTGGAAAGGCTTCTTGTCAGTCAGTGGAGGAAGAACAGTCAAATATCCAAAAATGTCTGCACAGACTCAGTCTTGTTCATGCGCAGGTGAGACCAGTGGTGTTCATTTGATACATGCCTATTTCAAGATTGATCATTTCCCACATATACATTGAAATAAACCAAAACGTTCACCGTTAAAGGATTAGTTCACTTCAGAAAAATCTAAATTTCCTGATAATTTACTCACCCCCACGTCATCCAAGATGTTCTTGTCTTTCTTTCTTCAGTCGAAAAGAAATGAAGGTTTTTGAGGAAAACATTCCAGGATTTTTCTCCATATAGTGGAGTTCAACGGTTATCAATTGTTTGTAGGTCCAAATTGCAGTTACAGTGCAGCTTCAAAGGGCTCGATCCCAGCCGAGGAATAAGGGTCTTATCTAGCGAAAAAGATTGGTCGTTTTCTAAAAAAATATACATACTTTTTAACCACAAATGCTTGTCTTGCACTAGCTCTGCAATGCACCACGCATTACGTAATCACGTAGAAAGGTCACGCGTGTTCCGGTTCAAAAAGGTAGGATTCTCGAAAAATTCTCATTTTCTCCACCAACTTCAAAATCGTCCGACATCGTTGTTTTTACCTTTTATTTATTTATTCATTTTGTAAATGGCGATTGACTTAGTCTTTGCACGTTCGCTTTGTACCTCAAAGTGACACAGTACAAGCTTCGCGTGTCCTTTCAATGTGATTACGTAATACGTGGTGCATCGCAGAGCTCGTGCAAGACGAGCATTTGTGGTTAAAAAGTATATAAATGTTTATTTATTTTTATTAGAAAATGATAGATCGTTTCACTAGATAAGACTTATTCCTCGGCTGGGATCGAGTAGAGCCCCTTGAAGCTGCATTAAAACTGCAATTTGGACCTTCAAACCGTTGTACCCCATCAAAGTCCATTATGTAGAGAAAAATCCTGGAACGTTTTCCTCAAAAACCTTCATTTCTTTTCAACTGAAGAAAGAAAGAGTCAGGATATTCTAATTCTGAAGTGAATTAATTCTTTAACATGAATCATTTTTTATAAATGCGCATATTTGTGATAATACTGTTGCATATTTAGAATTTTCAATTAATCATGAGTAAAACTATTAAAGGGATACTCCACCAGTTTTTCTTATTAAACTATGTTATTCCCTTAACTAAGACGAGTTGATACATACCTCTCTCGTCTCAGTGCGTGCACTATATCGCTCTGTATTGCCGCAAAACTATGTTAGCACTTAGCTTAGCCCATGCATTAAATATGGGCCAAGCAGAGAAGCGACCAAACACTTCCACGTTTTCCCTATGTAAACACAGTTACTCGAGTAGTGTAACTTGACCTGGGCTGGTGACACAAAATAAACCGTTGCGCTTTTCTAAGCGTTTAAAATTGATGACTATATTGTATGGCGGAATACCATAACAAGTGCTTTTGAGCACTTCGACTTGGCGCAATAATATCTTCACTCGTGAAAAGTCCCGGCTCCCGCTTCCTCTCCCCCTCCCTCTGACATTTCCGTCAATACAACCAACGTGACTTTTACTACCTGTGCTGTGCTATTAGCAAACTGCAGATCATTTGCAATGGCGGACTTTGTAGATGATTATGACTTCTTTGTAGAAGACCCAGAGCCATATCTGTTTGAACCCGAGTACACGGAGGAGGAATTAGCTCTTATGGACCGTGAGAGGCAAGAAAGATATGATCCAGAACAGACCGGAGCTGGCGAAAGACCACGGGCAAACAGCAATTGGTGGTGCAAGTGTGACTGTTGCGAACAGATGCCGACCGAAATTGAGAGCCTGTGCTGTTTAGAATGCTAACTAAGCTAACTAGCTTCCAACAACCTGTAACTCCGCTCGAACTACTACTACCGGCGCATGTCACGTTGGTTGTATTGACGGAAATGTCAGAGGGAGGGGGAGAGGAAGCGGGAGCCGGGACTTTTCACGAGTGAAGATATTATTGCGCCAAGTCGAAGTGCTCAAAAGCACTTGTTATGGTATTCCGCCATACAATATAGTCATCAATTTTAAACGCTTAGAAAAGCGCAACGGTTTATTTTGTGTCACCAGCCCAGGTCAAGTTACACTACTCGAGTAACTGTGTTTACATAGGGAAAACGTGGAAGTGTTTGGTCGCTTCTCTGCTTGGCCCATATTTAATGCATGGGCTAAGCTAAGTGCTAACATAGTTTTGCGGCAATACAGAGCGATATAGTGCACGCACTGAGACGAGAGAGGTTTGTATCAACTCGTCTTAGTTAAGGGAATAACATAGTTTAATAAGAAAAACTGGTGGAGTATCCCTTTAATCTTTTTATGTTTTTTTTACGTTTTAGGTGGAAATCATCTTTGAGATTAGGACAGATTCAACAACACACAAGCAAATGTTCAGGTTAACTGAATAAATATTTTCACTACCGTACAAAAGTTTGGCATCAGTAAGATTTTAAGATTATTATTTATTTACCTTTATTAAGCAAGGATCCATTAAATTGATTAAAACCGTAAAGCCATTTATAATCTTACCGTTTTTTCATGTTTCTAAATGCTGTTCTTTTGAACTTTCTATTCTCTTAAAAATCCTTTAAAAAGTATCACGGTTTCCACAAAAATATTAAGCAGCACAAGCATCTTCAACATTGATAATGATAATAAATGTTTCTTGAGCATCAAATCAGCATATTAGAATGATTTCTGAAGGATCATTTGACAAGGAAGACTTGAGTAAATATGCTGAAAAATCAGCTTTGCCATCACAGGAATAAATTACATTTTAAAATATATTATAGAAATGGTTCTTTTAACTTTTACACAATATTACTGTTAACTGTCATTGTGATCAAGCCAAATAAGAGACTTCTTTCAAAAACAATAAAAAAAATCTTACAGACCCCAAATAATAATAATAATAAAAACCCAAAGCTTATTTTTATGTTTTTGTTGCTTTTACTCATCTCTGTATTGATGTCCTACAGGTCTACTCGTATAAACCTTCTCATTATTATTTTTTTTAAAGATTTGTGTGTAATAATCTTTATTTGTTATTTTATAGTGGAGAGAAAGGAAGTAAAGTTTCAGTGATGGATCACATCATTCCTATGGACACTGCCGCATACGGACAGTCAGTTGCTGCGAATTTGTATTAAACAGAACAACTTGGTGTCAAGCAGAATCAACACACCTGATTGGCCATTCTGTTTTAACATCCTGAATATCTGTCTTTACTTGCATTTTTTTTCTTCACACTTTGCTTCTGTAATTTTATTATGAAGGAGTCCATTCTCTGTGCGGTGTTTCCCATCCTGTCCACAAATGCACCCAGTATTGGGAGACACACTGAGTTGTGTGCTCCCTACTGACATAATAGAGGCTGGACTGTGTGGAGAACTGAGCATGGTTACCATGGCAACACTTGCACCCTGTATGGAGCAGTATTCCAACTGGCCCACTCAGCTCTCATGCATACGGATATCCTTTGTGATGGTCACATAATAATCGTTATTATTATTTAAGAGCATGCATATGATTTTAGGCTACTTGCCTTACAAATATGCTTGGTCTTTTTTGGTAAAAAATATTGTGATTCTGATGCATTATTCATATTAATGAACAAAAGAGATATTTTCCTTGACATTCATCACACATGCTTGTGTACAGTCCATGTGGGATGCCTCTAATGCAACAAACACAGATGAGTTTCCTCCAGAGTTTGGCTGCTTCACTCTCCTGGGCAGATCTCGGCCTTTCTAAAGTCTGTTGCATGGAAGCACAAAACATCCAGGGTAAAAGACAGGATTAAATGGGGATAAATTGGGGAAACTGAGAGCCAATTCGCTCACTGCGCTGCAATTTTATGGATGGCAGCCTTGCTGCAAAGCATAAAGGGCACTGTGCTACAAATCACCATTGGCTTTGAGGCTAAAGTTGTTCAGACGGCTATCCAGCATGTGTATATATTATTTAATTCTGGCTTTTCCCTTTATAGGCTGTCTGTGTTCTGATGTAGAATTCTCTGTTGAAACTGACTACAGTGAGGAAACAAGATGTAGTAATGCTGTACAGCAGAACATTGAGCCAGAATGGAGCGGTGCTGTAGAACAGACTCTGACCGTCTTCATTTTCACTCAGTACACTGACCCCTTCCACTCCCAGATCACTGACTTTATAAGTGCGTTCCATTTGCCTGCCCTGTCACGCAGACATCTTAAGGTTTTAATATTTTCTGCTGAAGTTCTGCTTTTAAATGTGTCAGGCAGTGAGGAGGTTTTCGAGGGAGACTTGGATGCGGTTCTTTGGTACAACGGAGATCAAGTGAGGGCGACTCTACAGTCAACCATGAAAAAAACGCTGAAAGGATTCCAGCGGAGACACACTGTAAGATATGTCTGCATGGAGTTTACGTACACTACAGTTCAAAGGTTTAGGTCAGTAATGTAAATATATATTTTTCGAAAGAACTGGTATAGTTTTATTCAGCAAGCCAAGGACACATTAAATTGTTCAAAGGTGACATTAAAGCTGCAGTCTGTAGTTTTTCCTCTTTGTCGCCATCTCTGTTCGAAATATGCAATTGCAGTTATTTGCGGAACTATCAACTTTACTTGGGTTGTCCCTCGGCACGGCATCGCGTGGATGAATCCAATGTTTTGAGGAGAGTGTGAGGCTGTCAATCACCGCGCTGGTGTGGATACTGTCATTTGGAATCACAGATTCTACTTTTTGAAAGTATGACCAACATCTCATGTCATCTGAACAAGTAAGTAACATCCACTTTTGTTCTGACCAACTAAGGGGAAAAAAGCATTGCAGTAAATCGCGCTGATTAAATCTAACGATCGCTTATCATATCACGTCAAAACGTGCAAATTATACTTTGTTCTCAAATTGTTAATGTGAACAACATCACCATTGCGTGACTACATTTAATAACCTTCCAATATTTATCCTTGTTTTCGCATGGGCCCAGTTGCAGTCTCTTTTTTCTGTAGCCACTCTGAAGTCCGAACGAAGTCTTTTGCATTTTACAGCGGGTGAATCTGTTGTCACTGATGATTGTTGTTTGAACCTTTCTGGATCCGCCATCAAATTGATAAGTTTAATTATATCAAGTGCTGTGAGAAAAGGCTATAAATCTCCACCTCCAACATCCTCACACGCAATATAGCCTACTAGCCGAGACTCCTTCTTTATGTGTGCAGATGTGACGTAATGACTCAATATAGCCTACTAGCCGAGACTCCTTCTTTATGTGTACAGATGTGATGTAATGACTCAATATAGCCTACTAGCCGAGACTCCTTCTTTATGTGTACAGATGTGATGTAATGACTCAATATAGCCTACTAGCTGAGACTCCTTCTTTATGTGTACAGATGTGACGTAATGACTCAATATAGCCTACTAGTCGAGACTCCTTCTTTATGTGTACAGATGTGACGTAATGACTCAATATAGCCTACTAGCCGAGACTCCTTCTTTATGTGTACAGATGTGATGTAATGACTCAATATAGCCTACTAGCCGAGACTCCTCCTTTATGTGTACAGATGTGACGTAATGACTCAATATAGCCTACTAGCCGAGACTCCTTCTTTATGTGTACAGATGTGACGTAATGACTCAATATAGCCTACTAGCCGAGACTCCTTCTTTATGTGTACAGATGTGATGTAATGACTCAATATAGCCTACTAGCCGAGACTCCTCCTTTATGTGTACAGATGTGACGTAATGACTCAATATAGCCTACTAGCCGAGACTCCTTCTTTATGTGTACAGATGTGACGTAATGACTCAATATAGCCTACTAGCCGAGACTCCTTCTTTATGTGTACAGATGTGACGTAATGACTCAATATAGCCTACTAGCCGAGACTCCTCCTTTATGTGTACAGATGTGACGTAATGACTCAATATAGCCTACTAGCCGAGACTCCTTCTTTATGTGTACAGATGTGATGTAATGACTCAATATAGCCTACAAGCCGAGACTCCTTCTTTATGTGTACAGATGTGATGTAATGACTCAATATAGCCTACAAGCCGAGACTCCTTCTTTATGTGTACAGATGTGATGTAATGACTCAATATAGCCTACAAGCCGAGACTCCTTCTTTATGTGTACAGATGTGACGTAATGACTCAATATAGCCTACTAGCCGAGACTCCTCCTTTATGTGTACAGATGTGACGTAATGACTCAATATAGCCTACTAGCCGAGACTCCTTCTTTATGTGTACAGATGTGACGTAATGACTCAATATAGCCTACTAGCCGAGACTCCTCCTTTATGTGTACAGATGTGACGTAATGACTCAATATAGCCTACTAGCCGAGACTCCTTCTTTATGTGTACAGATGTGACGTAATGACTCAATATAGCCTACTAGCCGAGACTCCTTCTTTATGTGTACAGATGTGACGTAATGACTCAATATAGCCTACTAGCCGAGACTCCTCCTTTATGTGTACAGATGTGACGTAATGACTCAATATAGCCTACTAGCCGAGACTCCTTCTTTATGTGTACAGATGTGATGTAATGACTCAATATAGCCTACAAGCCGAGACTCCTTCTTTATGTGTACAGATGTGATGTAATGACTCAATATAGCCTACAAGCCGAGACTCCTTCTTTATGTGTACAGATGTGATGTAATGACTCAATATAGCCTACAAGCCGAGACTCCTTCTTTATGTGTACAGATGTGACGTAATGACTCAATATAGCCTACTAGCCGAGACTCCTTCTTTATGTGTACAGATGTGATGTAATGACTCAATATAGCCTACTAGCCGAGACTCCTCCTTTATGTGTACAGATGTGACGTAATGACTCAATATAGCCTACTAGCCGAGACTCCTTCTTTATGTGTACAGATGTGACGTAATGACTCAATATAGCCTACTAGCCGAGACTCTTCTTTATGTGTACAGATGTGACGTAATGACTCAATATAGCCTACTAGCCGAGACTCCTTCTTTATGTGTACAGATGTGATGTAATGACTCAATATAGCCTACTAGCCGAGACTCCTTCTTTATGTGTACAGATGTGACGTAATGACTCAATATAGCCTACTAGCCGAGACTCCTTCTTTATGTGTACAGATGTGATGTAATGACTCAATATAGCCTACTAGCCGAGACTCCTCCTTTATGTGTACAGATGTGACGTAATGACTCAATATAGCCTACTAGCCGAGACTCCTTCTTTATGTGTACAGATGTGATGTAATGACTCAATATAGCCTACTAGCCGAGACTCCTCCTTTATGTGTACAGATGTGACGTAATGACTCAATATAGCCTACAAGCCGAGACTCCTTCTTTATGTGTACAGATGTGATGTAATGACTCAATATAGCCTACTAGCCGAGACTCCTCCTTTATGTGTACAGATGTGACGTAATGACTCAATATAGCCTACTAGCTGAGACTCCTTCTTTATGTGTACAGATGTGATGTAATGACTCAATATAGCCTACAAGCCGAGACTCCTTCTTTATGTGTACAGATGTGATGTAATGACTCAATATAGCCTACAAGCCGAGACTCCTTCTTTATGTGTACAGATGTGATGTAATGACTCAATATAGCCTACAAGCCGAGAGTCCTTCTTTATGTGTACAGATGTGATGTAATGACTCAATATAGCCTACAAGCCGAGACTCCTTCTTTATGTGTACAGATGTGATGTAATGACTCAATATAGCCTACAAGCCGAGACTCCTTCTTTATGTGTACAGATGTGATGTAATGACGCAAAGGCATGCTCGAATTTCCCGCGGAAATCCACCAGTCCCACTGGAATTAAAAACATTATTACAAGCTTACCGTTTTGAATCGAGCTAAAACAAGCAGATAGTTTTGAACACTGGCTGGTTATGTACTTGCTCAAATTTATTTTGGATAATTTTTAACCCAAAAAAGTTACGGAATGCAGCTTTAAAGACGTTTATAATGTTGCAGCCTTGGTGAGTATAAGAGACTTTCAAAAACATAACAAAAATCTTACTGACCCTAAACTTTTGAACAGTGTTGTACATGGAAAAATTGTGACACTTAAGTCATTTTTTAAACACGACTGAACCGTACATATTTTCTGTGTGTACTTCAGGCCAGGCAGAGGTTGGATCCTGCCAAATCCATTGTCTTGAGCTCAGTGAACAGTATAATTGCCAGCAGCAGCAGTGGAGAGTTTCGAAGAGCCTGTTTTGATAGCATGAGGGTATAATATATGGTTATAATTTATACTGGTTCCCAAAACACCCTATTTTATGTGTCATTTCACTTCTTATTCATAAGACCAGCGCTTTATTGCTTGTGAAAGTTGTTTAAAATGTTTCAAACTGGGTGTGTTTTAGGTCAAAAGCTCCTGCGAGCTACGTGTATCTCTACAACAGTCGCTTCAAAGCATTGTGGAGGGACGCTTTGCTCAAAAGCGCATGTGTAACAATGAAATGGTGCTTTTGCAAACCTTGTTTCAAACAATTTCATTTCTGCATTCGTGACTTTGCCTTCTTTATGAATGTTTGTGATTTTAAACTCCTCAGAAGGAGGTGGAGGCTGTTAGCCCTGAACAAAGTAGTCTTGACAGCTGGGAGGAAGGTAAGTTTTAATTAATGAGTTTAATAGCACCACAGAAATAATTAATAGAGTTGGTGGAGATGATATTTTGTTGATTCATCCTTTTTTTTTATCAGCATTTGAAAATCCACCAGAACTGCCTTCTAAGAGGGTTTACTGTGACCATGAGTCCTTTAGCTTTATCCCTAACAAGAGGCAATGCTCAGAGCCGTTCTCTGAGAATTCAGACGCCTTCGTGAACAGTGTCTTTGAGGCAGCAAACATCCAGAGAGGTCCCCTGTCCCCTATACAGCATCCACAAAGTCAGCTAACTGGAATGATCGCAGACATACCCTCAGCGCCGCTGAGCCTGGCTAAACTAAATAATGAACAGGTGGATAATTATTGTAAATACTGCATGATACTTATTCAATCTGATATGTAGCCCAGAACTCAATCACAAAAGATGTGTATAGTGTGCATATCCTAATTGTTTTGTTATCTCCCTTTGTAAAGGTGGAGAAGCAGTGGCTTCAAGAGCTTGAAAACTTTTCTGAATGGGACTGAGAAAAAACAATTGAGATCAACAACTGTTGTTGCTTTGTTCACATCTTCAAAACATATGTTGAAAGAATAAAAAAAAAATGTATCTGTATATCCTACCACTATGTATGTTTAAGATAGAAGTCTTTGTTGTCATTTGTAATTTAATTGTATTTTATAGGCTACATTAAACGTCAACTGTTTTTAACGAATAAATGCTTGTTAAGTTTATGTTATATGTACTGTATATCTAGGATATACATATATATATACACTCACCGGCCACTTTATTAGGTACCCCATGCTAGTAACGGGTTGGACCCCCTTTTGCCTTCAGAACTGCCTCAATTCTTCGTGGCATAGATTCAACAAGGTGCTGGAAGCATTCCTCAGGGAGTTTGGTCCATATTGACATGATGGCATCACACAGTTGCCGCAGATTTGTCGGCTGCACATCCATGATGCGAATCTCCCGTTCCACCACATCCCAAAGATGCTCTATTGGGTTGAGATCTGGTGACTGTGGAGGCCATTTTAGTACAGTGAACTCATTGTCATGTTCAAGAAACCAATTTGAAATGATTAGAGCTTTGTGACATGGTGGAAGTAGCCATCAGAGGATGGGTACATGGTGGCCATAAAGGGATGGACATGGTCAGAAACAATGCTCAGGTAGGCCGTGGCATTTAAACGATGCCCAATTGGCACTAAGGGGCCTAAAGTGTGCCAGGAAAACATCCCCCACACCATTACACCACCACCACCAGCCTGCACAGTGGTAACAAGGCATGATGGTTCCATGTTCTCATTCTGTTTACGCCAAATTCTGACTCTAACATCTGAATGTCTCAACAGAAATCGAGACTCATCAGACCAGGCAACATTTTTCCAGTCTTCAACTGTTCAATTTTGGTGAGCTCTTGCAAATTGTAGCCTCTTTTTCCTATTTGTAGTGGAGATGAGTGGTACCCGGTGGAGTCTTCTGCTGTTGTAGCCCATCCGCCTCAAGGTTGTGCGTGTTGTGGCTTCACAAATGCTTTGCTGCATACCTCGGTTGTAACGAGTGGTTATTTCAGTCACTGTTGCCCTTCTATCAGCTCGAACCAGTCTGGCCATTCTCCTCTGACCTCTGGCATCAACAAGGCATTTCCGCCCACAGAACTGCCGCTCACTGGATGTTTTTTCTTTTTCGGACCATTCTCTGTAAACCCTAGAGATGGTTGTGCGTGAAAATCCCAGTAGATTAGCAGTTTCTGAAATACTCAGACCAGCCCTTCTGGCACCAACAATCATGCCACGTTCAAAGTCACTCAAATCACCTTTCTTCCCCATACTGATCCTCGGTTTGAACTGCAGGAGATTGTCTTGACCATGTCTACATGCCTAAATGCACTGAGTTGCCGCCATGTGATTGGCTGCTTAGAAAATAAGTGTTAACGAGCAGTTGGACAGGTGTACCTAATAAAGTGGCCGGTGAGTGTATATATTATACATACATAAATACACTGTAAAAAGTGATCAGTTGACTTAACTTTAAAAAAGTGATAACCTGTTACTTTAAAATTACTAAGTAAATAAATGTGACTTCATGCGTAATTGAAAAAAATCTATTTATGTAGAATTGTCAGCTTAATTTTAACGTGAGCATAAGAGACTTCTTTTAAAAACATTAAAAATAAAAATTCTACCTATCCCAAACTATATATATATACTGTATATAAATACTGGTCAAAGTTTTGGAAATATTACTATTTTTAATGTTTTTAAAAGAAGTCTTATGCTCATCAAATCTGCATTTATTTGGTCAAAAATACAGAAAAAAACTTGTATTGTAAAATAATTTAATTACTATTTGAATATACTTTAAAATATAGTTTGTTTGTTTTTTGGATGCAAAGCTGAATTTTCATCAGCCATTGCTCCAGTCCGCAGTGTCACATGATCCTTCAGAAATCATTCTAATATGATTTGATACTCAGTTATTATTAATGTTGTAAACAGTTGTGCTGCTTAATATTTTAATAGAACGTGACCAATTTTTAAACCATAAAGATTTATATAGGTGTGTTGTATTTCTTGATAGCCGTGCTCAAGTGAGGAGCTCCTCCAGAGCTCCGTTCTGACCGTTCTGCTAGTCTGCAGACACAGTGGAAATAACGCTCTCTCGTTCAATCACTCAGGATCTCGCGAGCTCTCCGTCTTCACTGCTTTCAGTGTTGTGCTGTTGCTTTTCGTTATGGACTGTGTTGATGAGTTAACCGACCACCACAAAAACATAATGGACTGAGCTTTATAAAGGTAAAGCATGTTTAACGGAGTGTTATTTATTTCCGCTTCTGTGTGTAATATGTATGTAAATACAACTGTAGCATCTTGCTAAGCTGTAGCTGTCAGGCTAGGCTAACTGAAAGACACCGGCTGCAGTCAGATTCAGTTAGCAGTGTGTGTTGTTTACTGAGCGGCAGTCTTCACTTAATCTGATAGAAATTAAAGTAGTCGCACGTTTAGACATCTGCTGCTTGACTCACGGACGGGATATCTAGCCGGGTAACTTACTGATATCATTGGGGGGTAGCTAATTCTAAGCTTATGCTGATCTAATAAAGCATGTAAGTGTTTATACTGTCGGAACTGGGTTTAAATATCGTCCTAACTTTGACTTTACTGAATTGAAAAGGTATTTATGTAACTGTTCAGAGCGGTTCAATTGGATCCCTCTGTCACATTTAGCTAATTAGCTGATTTAGTGTTTAAGGATAGATAGCTGATTTAGTGTTTAAGGATAGATAGATAGATAGATAGATAGATAGATAGATAGATAGATAGATAGATAGATTGATTCATTGATTCATTGCAGCAAGTTATTTTAATATCCAGTGTAATGTGTTGTATTTTGTGCATAGAGATCTGACAAATGTCATGTGGTTGTACACATGATCATGTTGCTCTAATTGGCTTAATCTGATGTTTTTAGACCAGTGCACTGCACACTACTTTTTTAACCATTGATATGCTTCATTGTTGTACATGCATTGAGGGACATTAATTTACTAACATAATATAATGTAAATGTCCAGCAGGATTCAGTGTGTGTGTCTTCTGGACTTGCCACAGACAGGATGTTCCCCTGCCTGGCCCATAGACCATGGAAAGTCCTCTGCCGGGTCTACCTGCAACAACGAGCCCCTCTGTCTCAGAGACCCTTCAAAATAGCTAAGCCATGTTTTGGTAAGTTAGGTGTTGTGACTTGCGTGCATTTTTTTTCATTCTGTGTTTCATATCTTCTCATTCAACATTGGTTTCAATTAGATGCAATAATCCTAGACTAGAGTCAGATATTATTCTGATTACACAACTGTGATTCTCAATAGGTTGGCAAAGTGGAGGAGGGGTGCACAAACTCTGGTTTAGCTTCCCTGATTCCAGAGTCACTTCCTTAACGTGGACACAGGTCCAGAACTGTTCCACATCAAGCAGTGGTAAAGACGGATCTCCAGGGGGCCCTGTAGAGCCAAAACCCACTGAGAAAGCACAAGCTGCACAGCCCTCTTCAAAAATAGCTGGTAATAAACTCATAGTGATTCCGCATTATCTAGTGTTTGTTCATAGGCATTTGAATGGTGTCTAAAATTAGCTAATTTATACTTGTAGAACATTTGTGTTCTTAGGTTTTAGTCCACTTTGAGTACATGTAAATAATGTTTTTGTAAAATAAGTGTTCATTATTTTTTTATTCACACACACACATTATATATATATATATATACACACACACACACACACACACACACACACACTCACCTAAAGGATTATCAGGAACTCCATACTAATACTGTGTTTGACCCCCTTTCGCCTTCAGAACTGCCTTAATTCTACGTGGCATTGATTCAACAAGGTGCTGAAAGCATTCTTTAGAAATGTTGGCCCATATTGATTGGATAGCATCTTGCAGTTGATGGAGATTTGTGGGATGCAAATCCAGTGCATGAAGCTCCCGTTCCACCACATCCCATGTATTGGGTTGAGATCTGGAGACTTTGCCTGCTGGAAGTAGCCATCAGAGGATGGGTACATGGTGGCCATAAAGGGATGGACATGGTCAGAAACAATGCTCAGGTAGGCCGTGGCATTTAAACGATGCCCAATTGGCACTAAGGGGCCTAAAGTGTGCCAAGAAAACATCCCCCACACTGTTACACCACCACCACCAGCCTGCACAGTGGTAACAAGGCATGATGGATCCATGTTCTCATTCTGTTTACGCCAAATTCTGACTCTACCATCTGAATGTCTCAACCGAAATCGAGACTCATCAGACCAGGCAACATTTTTCCAGTCTTCAACTGTCCAATTGTGGTGAGCTCTTGCAAATTGTAGCCTCTTTTTCCTGTTTGTAGTGGAGATGAGTGGTACCCGGTGGGGTCTTCTGCTGTTGTAGCCCATCCGCCTCAAGGTTGTGCGTGTTGTGGCTTCACAAATGCTTTGCTGCATACCTCGGTTGTAACGAGTGGTTATTTCAGTCAAAGTTGCTCTTCTATCAGCTTGAATCAGTCGGCCCATTCTCCTCTGACCTCTAGCATCAACAAGGCATTTTCTCCCACAGGACTAGCCGCATACTGGATGTTTTTCCCTTTTCACACCATTCTTTGTAAACCCTAGAAATTATGTTGTGCGTGAAAATCCCAGTAACTGAGCAGATTGTGAAATACTCAGACCGGCCCGTCTGGCACCAACAACCATGCCACGCTCAAAATTGCTTAAATCACCTTTCTTTCCCATTCTGACATTCAGTTTGGAGTTCAGGAGATTGTCTTGACCAGGACCACACCCCTAAATGCATTGAAGCAACTGCCATGTGATTGGTTGATTAGATAATTGCATTAATGAGAAATTGAACAGGTGTTCCTAATAATCCTTTAGGTGAGTGTGTATATATATATATGTATATATATAGTGTGTGTGAGGTTTTTTTTTTATTACCTCTGCTAATTTATCTGGTATTGTCTTTGCCCTTTTTAGGTGCTAAAGTTAGCTCTGGTAAGGGAATATAATATATGTGTGATAATAATGATTTATCATAACTGTTTTATTCATTTGTTTTTCTTTTTTTGCATTTGAGATTCCAAACCTCAAGGTCTGACGAAAGCGGAGAGCATTCAAGTGAAAGGTAGTTTAGTCTTGTTTTATTCACAGAAAATCAAATCAGAATGTATATCATTATTCTATTTATTTTAACTATCACTGTATGTTTCTTGTGTTTTCAGTACGCGCCGTCCTGAAAAAAAGGGAATATGGCATCAAATACACCCAGAATAATTTCATCACCGCGGTTAGAGCTATGAATGAGTTCTGCCTCAAACCCAGGTACCTTTATCAAGTGGAACTTTTGTAGTTTGCTGCCCTTCTACCATTCATGTGATTCTATGCTTTTTTTTGTGTGTGTGTGTGTGTGTGTTCAAAGTGACCTTGAGCAGCTTAGGAAAATCCGCCGACGTAGTCCCCATGATGACACAGAAGCATTCACCGTCTTCCTGCGATCAGATGTGGAGGCAAAGTTTGTACAACTATCTTACACTACCATTCAAAGGTTTGGGGTCCGTAAGATTTTTTTGAAGTAATTCATACTTTTATTCAGCAAAAACTATGGTATTCTATTTCAAATAAATGCTGTTCTTTTGAACTTTTGGGAAAATACATTTCACGGTTTCCACAAAAATATTTAGCAACACAACTGTTTTTCAACGTTGATGCTAATAAGAAATGTTTCTTGAGCACCAAATTAGTATATTAGAATGATTTCTGAAGGATCATTCTAGACACACTGAAGACTGGAGTAATGATGCTGAAAATTCAGTTTTGCCATAACAGGAATAAATGACATTTTAATATATAATAAAATAGAAAACATGTTTTTTAAATTGTAATAAGATTTCACAATATTATTGTTTTTACTGTATTTTCATCAAATAATTGCAGCCTTGATGAGCATAAGAGACTTCTGTAAAAACAGTAAAATGTCGTACTGACCCCAAACCTTTTTACCGGTAATTTATATGCTATTGAGCATCAGGTGCAAGAAGTATCTAATACGCATCAATAGAGATCAATACGCATATTTTTGGTTTTCTTAAATAGAGCGCTGGATGTATGGGGAAGTCAAGAGGCACTCACTCGAGAGAGGAATCTCAGGAAAGAAGTGGAAAAGGAGTACCAAGAAAGTATGTCATTCTCTCATCTCTCTCTACATGATTTGCATTCTGCTGCTTTCATGTCGTCTGCTGACTTAATAACCATTTGTATTTATCTTACTCATTCAAGACACATTTAGAAATCAGCAGCTGTTGAAGGAATACAAAGACTTCTGGGGAAACACAAAGGTAAGAACAAGGTCAAACCTGTCACTAATTTTTGTGTTTTGTTACCATTTCCTGGGTGTAACCAGTCCTCATGATTCGTGATATTCGTAATCTTCTGTCCCTTTCTTGGTGCTTTTTCATATTTGTCTTGTATGGTCATGCTGCTCTTATTTAATCTCAAAGGCAAGCAGTGAATATGATGTGTGTACATTGTGCTTTCAGCTAACTATGTTTTTGATATTGTGTGTGTCTCCTATAGCCTCGGTCTAGGAAGAGAGCAACATTTCTAGAAGGGCCGGGAAAAGTGGTGATGGTAGCTATATGCATGTAAGCTTAAGTTTGTGTTACACCGCCATCAATATCAGGGCCATTCAGTCTAGAAACAGAAAATGAATGAGTTCTATGCATAAAGGAGAAGCCAATCAAATGCTCAATATCTATTAGATTAAGAATATTGAGTTATAGGGCATGTGCTCTCACATGAGGTTTAACACACTTGTGTTGTCTTTCAAACAACCAGATCTGTGTCTAGTTAATTATCAGTTACATTAAAGGTAGGGTATGGGATTTGCAAAACGGCCGGCAGATTTTGAAAATACACAACTCAAAAGGTCCTACCTTCTTTCCTCCAAAGCTGGCCCTGACTCCACCCATTCGAAGAACATGGACACGCAATCATGCATCTGCAAAAGTCAGATGCGCGAGATTGCACTTACTCTCTCTCTCTCTGTACTAGGGCTGCACGTTTTCAAGTTTTTCATTAACCGTTAACCGAGGCCCTTAGCGGTTAATACTCGGTTAACCATAGTGTGCGCGTGAGAAAGGGGTAGTTCATTTTTAACACCTTTAATAACTGGTTGGACCACATTTGAAACGAAATTAATTTATAGAAATAAAACGCAGTGGTAAGGACAGAGCAGTTATGGTGTGTTCACACCGAACGCGAATTTAATTATTTGCACGAGTGATTACATACAAAGTCAATGCAAAGACGCAAATAGACGCATCATTCGCGCCGGGCGTTGCGAATGATGCGAATTGGGCGACGCGTTTGCCGCGAATGTCTTCCGCGCAAGTTGAAAAATTTGAACTCGAGCGAATGTTCAAGCGTCTAACTAGACGCGTATTTGACGCTCTATTCGCGTTCGGTGTAAACACACCATAATGATGCCCGGGTGTTGGCTGTTGAGATGGTACAACAACGAGGTTGTACTTGAAGTATATCTAAGCACTGCATTGCAATACTTGCATTTTGCCCCGTCATTCTCGATTTTAAAGCGCTCCCACGCTGTGCTTTTCTTTGCCCGCTTCATATTAGAAAACTGGTCATGACTACTTCTTGTGGACATTACAAATGTCTGGGAGCACTCTGGCGGTCTCTTGTGGTGCAAAAATGTATTACAACTAAATTCAATGCACGCCATTGACGCCACTTAACCGAGCAAAATGTTTCACTCGGTGACGCAATTTTAACGGTTAATCGGTTAACCATGGACACCCCTACTCTGTCCCGGGGCGACTTGCACTTACTGTGACTGGGTCACGAGCTTTGAGTATGCGCACGAAGGGGACACGCGCGCACGAAGGGGAGGGGGGTATGGTACGACCGTTTGATTGACGCACTGACTGTCCAATGATTCTAGGTGGTCTTGGAAATGATTGGCTGGAGTTTTTCGAGTCCTGCCCGTTCCACAGATGATTAAATTGCTTAATTTCCATTTCAGTGCTTCTAACTCAGTGGCTGTAAGTGGGTTAGGAATAGGATTTCAAGTGATTTTGAAAAAATGGTCAAAAAAGAAAATCACATACCCCACCTTTAAGCCATTTTAGTGTTTTCTGTGAACTTTGTAATCGGTACACTTCCATTCAAAATGTTGGTTAATGTTTTTAGGATTTATGATCTACTGCAGCAATTAGTATCCTCAATTCCCCCAAATTATTAAAAAGTGTCACTAAAAGGAAAGGTGATGTGACAGTGGTAATCTTTTATTTGATCAAAAATACAGAAAAAATTGTAATATTGTGAAGAACTGTTTTTGACTTTAATATATTTTAAGTTGTAATTTATTCCTGTGATGGCATCATTACTCCAGTCTTCAGTGTCACATGATGCTTCAGAAATCATTATAATATGCTGATTTTCTGCTCAAGAATTATTTATTATTATTATTATCAATGTTGAATACAGTTGTGCTGCTTAATATTTTTGTGGAAAGTGATACAAAATTTTCACAATCCTTTGATGAATAGAAAGTTTGAAAGATCAGTGTTTATTTGAATTAGAACATTTTTGTAACAATGTACAAGTCTTGTCACTTCAGTTCAGTTTAGCATGAATAAACTTTTAAATGCTTGCATCAAGTGGAGATCTAAATGTCTAATTTCACTTTTGTAATCTGCAGAAATGGACTGAATTTTTTCTTCAAGCTGTTGGCATGGGTTTATACAGGATCTGCCAGTATGTTTTCAGAAGCCATCCACTCGCTGGCTGATACCTGCAATCAGGTGAGGTGGAATTCATGTTCGTCGTATCACCTTTGACCTCCATGACATTGCTACAAAGGTCTTTAACTCTTAAATCTCTCACAGGCTCTTCTTGCAATAGGCATCAGTCAATCTGTCCGGAACCCAGATGCCATCCATCCGTATGTACAACTTGTGCAGTCTGATCCCTCCATGTTGACCTCCATATCCACTGTTAATGTCTAAGCCTACATTTTTTTCTTAATAAAGGTACGGCTTCTCCAACATGCGTTACATCGCCTCTCTCATCAGCGGAGTGGGCATCTTCATGATGGGTGCTGGCTTGTCCTGGTATCACGGCATTATGGGACTCCTGCACCCTCAGCCAATAGAATCACTGCTCTGGGTTAGTAGCGTTCGGTTAGAACTTGTAGATGTGCATTTATTTGATCAAAAACAGTAAAATCAGCAATATAATTTTACTTTTTTTATTATTTGGAAATATCTTTGCATCTATTTTTAATATACTATCTATTATTTTTGTGGAAACCCTGAAACATTAATATTAGGTTTCTTTGATGAATAGCAAGTCAAAAAGAACAGCATTTATTTAAAATAGAAATCTTTTGTAACATTATAAATGTTTTTACCGTTACTTTTGATCAATTTTTAATGTGTCCTTGCTGAATTGAAATGGAATTTTAAAAAATCTTAATGACCTCAAACTCTTGAACAGTAGGGTATATAGCTGTTAAAATATTGTTTTCTTTTTTCTTTTGTAGGCATACTGTATTTTAGCAGGATCTCTGGTGTCTGAAGGAGGTGAGGTGTGGTTTCTTCTTGCATATTTTCATTAGCATTCACAAAGGTTTGACTGTCACTAATATCATCTATCTGCTGATTTCCCTTAAAGCTACACTATTAGTGGCCATTAATGAGATCAAGAAGAGCGCACGTGAACAAAGCTTGTCCTTTTATGAGTACGGTATGTACCTTTAGTTAACTCTTCCGTTAGCCTTGGATATTAATTGACTATTATAGCTTTGACACAGTTTGGAGATGATCAGTTTGATAGTTTTTGTTTGTCTGTGGACAACAGTGATGCAAAGTCGAGACCCCAGCACTAACGTGGTCCTGTTGGAGGACGCTGCCGCTGTGCTCGGAGTGACGCTGGCAGCTGGATGTATGGGACTCACGTCTCTTACAGGTAAAAATAAACTCAAGAATAATACATGACTTTTGAATTCAGGAAAGTAAGCGTCATCGTACCAGACCCCCTGTTTCATGCTAACTATCATTCTTTCTTTTTTCTATGGTCTCTCTCGACCAGAGGGTCAAGTTTAATAAGCGTATGGGATTGAACTTTATAACCTTGTAAGAGCAGTTGATGTTCTTTTAAAGCTTTCTAAATCCACCTCTCTAATCGCACTACTGTGCTCTCACAAAGTCAACATCTACGGCAGCCCAGAAGCTAGTTCCTCTTGCCCTGTGGTTTTCATGGCTTTGTGGGAAATGTGTGTAAAGATCTGGAAAATACTCTATTCAGTAAACCTCCTTTCATGCTTGAGAACAGCCCTGATGGCAGTTTCAGCTCATTTTGTTATCTGGTGCTTTACAGTATGTTATTGAAGTTTAATCAACCATGAAACTAACAGAAGTGTTATTTTACATAGAGTTTTTTTTTAAATGGCACTTTCGTTTCTACCACTAGAGGTCTCTATTGTGCTGTTAAAGACTATTGCATGCCATTTCACATTACTATAGTTCAAAGGTTTGAGATCTTTTACTCTTTTTTTTTATTTTTATTTTTATAATAAGAGTCTTATGAATGCCGAATCAATATTTATTTGATCAAAAATACAGTAAATGCTGTTAAATTCAGAAATATCATAAATTTAATTTATTCCTGTGATGCTAAGCTGAATTTTTTACAGCCAGGATGCTCAAAAAACATTTGAAAATTAAACCTTTGTACTGATTTTTTTTTTTGTGGAAACCTTGATACTTTTTCCCCCAGAATTCTTTGATGAATAAAAAGTTCAAAAGACCAGCATTTATTTTAAATAAAAAATCTTTTGTAACATTATAGATGTCTTTACTGTCCCTTTTTGTCCCTTGCTGAGTAAGTATCAGCAGAGAATGTCTAATAGACAGGCTCTGGTATCAGTTTCTTTCAAACAAACCAAAAAAATCTTACTGACCCCAAACTTTTGAATGGTAGTGTACTTCTGCATACTAAAGCATTTACTTTGCTGTTGATGATACATAATTTTGAGAAAGTCGTACGATATGATGACAGTTAATGTGTCAATGCTAGCATCTAGCCAAATGGATTACCTCAAGATTCATTATAGTTCATAATTGTAAAAATCTGCTGTTGCCATTGCAGCTTATACACAGTTTAAAAATGTCTAAACAAATTCCAACTTTTCCATAATGCAATGTTCTGTGGGGTAATATATCTTATTCATAGTAGATGCTATATTACTTTGACAGTATATCATCAGCACCTTTGGGTTTTTACAAATACTAGTCTCACATTCTATTTTCTGACGGATAGTACATGACTTGTAATGCAGCTCATGTCCATATTTGCCACTGTTTCATTATTACCTGCATTTCTTCTGCATTGATCCTCTCTCTCTTTCTCCCTCTACATAGGTAGCCCCTACTATGACAGTCTTGGTTCTCTGGGTGTGGGCACCCTGTTAGGAACAGTGTCTGCCTTCCTCATTTACACTAACACTGAGGCTCTGCTGGGCCGCTCCATCAAGGCTGAGCATGTGCAGAAGCTCACAGAGTTATTGGAAAACGACCCTGTTGTCAGGTCAGTCCTCTGTCCACTGCATGTGTCCTCTGTGTGTACCTGCAGTCTGCTGGAGAAGAGCTTAATCAGCAAACAAGCTGCCATCTTACAGATCATAACAGTACTTTCAATTTCGGCATGAAATGGAAGCTCCAATAGTCTTTTGTTCACTATTGTGACATTTATTTGCATGAAACGGCTTTTCGAACAAGAGAAAAAGTAGGCCGGGACTTGATTTTGTCCATCGGGAATTGATTGGACGGTTGTGGTTTGCTATTGAAGTCATCTCATGTGAGTGACAGGTTGTCCGGCTTTTGTGTCAGGAAACACATCGTCAGAAGAAAAGGGATGTCGCTGCATGTGGGAGAGGAAGTTATTTTGATTAAAGATTACAACATGAATTAAAAAAAAAAATTACGTTCACAAATAAATCATTTATAATGAACACTGCATTATTCCATTAAACGAGGACTTTAACGCAGAAGCAACCTGCTTCAAATGCTTTTCAAATTCAGGCAAGCATGACATTCTCAAATATAAGCTTGCTTGGGAAGATTTACATCAGTGAACGTTCTTGCTTTGATGGAATTAGATTTGATGTCCTCACTGCAGGTCATTTTGTCTCCAGGGCAATTCATGATGTCAAAGCCACAGATTTGGGGCTGAGCAAAGTGCGCTTCAAGGCAGAGGTGGACTTTGATGGGCGGGTGGTGACGCGCTCATACCTGGAGAAGCAAGACATTGAACAGATCCTGAACGTACGTGCTGAGAGACAAGGCTTCTGATCTGATGCAGATCATCTGACATGACTGTAGTGTTTGTTTGAGGTCTATCTATGGTTGCGTAGAAGCTACAGTTACAGCAGTTTTAACAATTGATGGTAGTTTTTTGCTTAAGAATCTATTTTTGTGACCTCTGACCATCAATTGTACAATCATGTGTGCTTATAAATGTGTGTGTTTGGCCTGCAGGAAATTCAGCAGGTGAAGACACCAGAGGAGCTGGAGAACTTTATGCTGAAGCACGGGGAGAACATCATTGACACCTTAGGAGCAGAGGTGGACCGTCTGGAGAAAGAACTTAAGGTATCTGATGAGACTATTGACTATACAAATCTCTCTGTATCTCCATCCTGACTCTCTTTCAGACCACCATGACTCTCATCAGACATGCATGATGTATGGTTAGCTGTTAGAATAAATTCAGCACTACATTCAGCAGACGCCACACTCATGGTGCACCATAGTTCCAGCAACACATAAAGCAAACCACTTCAGCTGTTAGCCACGGCTGTTCAAATACATCAAAGTTTCACTCTCCAGTGTTTCATTTTGGAATAGAAAAATCTGATTTGAATTTTCACAGAAAGCGTCACTGTAATTGCCTTTTTACATTGATGTTTTGGCAGACAATGAATGTATGTGGAATTTGTGATCTTTCTTTTTGCTTTTGAATGCACTTATAATTTGTTCTGATATTGTTATAATTAACAGAAAGGAGTTGATCAGATTTTTTTTATGTTTTTGAAACAAGTCTCTTATACTGTATTTATTTGTTCAATAATACAGTAAAAACAGTAATTTTGGGAAATATTATTACAATTTAAAATTTCTTTAATTAGAATTTTCAGCATCATCACTCCAGTCTTCAGTGTCACATGATCCTTTAGAAATCATTCTAATTTCTTTATTGTTATCAACACTGAAAACAGCTTAATATTTTAGTGGAAACCATGATATATATATATTTTTTTTCAGGATTCTTTGATGGATAGAAAAGTTCAAAAGAACAACATTTATTTGAAATGGAGCATTTTTGTAGCAATGTAAATGTCTTTACGGTCACTTTTGATCAATTTAATGGATCCTTGCTGAACAAAAGTGTATGTGATGGATCGAATGTCTTTTCGAACAAGTTATTACTTTTTTTGTCTTTATTTTTCCTCGACTGACTCCTGCTCTGTATCTTCGACAGCAACGTAATCCTGAGGTGCGGCATGTGGATCTGGAGATTTTATAATGTCATGATATGGGGATCAGGATGAAGTGGAAGGAGAACTAATCTAATCTCAAGCAACCTCCCGTCCCGTTCTCTCCAAAAAAGCAGCTGAGGTCTTATGTTACACCTATGCCACATCACCAAAGCACTAACCTGTACATGGTTTCAGTAGCTTGTTAAAATAGCAACACCTTAGCCAATACAAAGAGAACTCCAACTGGATGGAGACATGGCCAATAAAGATTGTTTAACAGTCATTGGATAATAGGTCTAGATGGTAGTTCGTACCACCAAAACCTTAAAATCATGTCCATGATTATAAAAGGACCACTGTCTTGTTTCATTTTACTCTTTGCAAGCAAAGCAGCATAAACACTAGAGATCTCGCATAACACCAAACTATTGGTGAAAAGGATATCTCTAGGAATAGTTCACAGAAAGGGTAAATTGTCTGTTCTGCTATTCTGTTACTCTATTGCTTTCTGGATTCCCAGAGATGATGGCATGTTCAAGCAATGCCATTATCATTGAATGAAAAGAGATAATGTGTTGAATGTTTGTGAGTAAGTTACAAAAAGGATAAACAGTAATTGTAATCTACTGAAGAAAAAAAAATCAGTTTAAATTGTTTAAACAGTTTAAAAAACTTTAGATTATTTTGTAATTTCCACTTATTTAAAAAAGATTTGAATTGTACTAATAACAGATTTAAAAATAAAATGTGTATTCTAAACTATATTGATATATTTTATCCATATTTATCAGTAATGACAGAACTATAGAATCAAATTGGGATCTATCGCCCAGCTCGGGCATCTCTGATGAAGACTGCTCTGATCTTCACATCCTTCCTATGCTAACAGTACTAATGTCCTTATGCTGCTTTTGGGACATTGTTTACGCTGTAATTCTGTGTGAATGAATGAAGAAAACCATTGTAGAAGATCCACAAAGACCGATCCATGTTTCTAAAGTCTCTAAAATACATTCTGGGTGTGCATTGTTGATTTGTGAACACTATGGGCCATATTATTTTCCTTTCGAAATAATTCTTGACTGTGAAAATACAACACTGGTTTTAATATCTGAAAAAAAAAGCATTCAGCCCATTGAAAAACCCTCATTACACATGCAAACAATACATTTTGTGGTAGTTATTTTGTGCTGAAGTCTAACCTGTATAAGGGTTTTAAACATTGTAATGTGATCAGAGCTTTGAAACTTTCTCAGCTCCCCTTAGGGAACAGTCAGACACATTTCTATATCTAATGCAGGTTGGATGAACACCTTCAAGGTTCGAAAGTTATAATTTGTTTTTGGAAAAGGCTGTAAGACTATATATATATTTAAAATATGTTTATTTGACTGTGCTATTTGATTTGATCTTTGAGCTGTTTGGAGCTACTGAAGAAAATTGATTAATAAATTGCAGTTAATTTATTAAATCACTGAATAGTTGTCCTTTTTTATGAATATGCTCTATTGTGCACCAGTTTGGGGTAAGATTTCTTTTTATGAAAGGAATTAACACGTTTTTTGTTCAGAAAGGATGCATTGAATTGATCAAAATGACATTAAATGCATAATGTTTAAAAAGATTTCTGTTTCAAATAATTGTTTGTTTTGGAATTTCCTTCACAGAATTAATTACATTTTAAAATATATAATATATATTTTAATATAGATTAAAAATCCTTTCTTTATGTAGGCTGTAATTTAACATTTCTCTTCATTGGCCAGCATACTTATCAATATTCCTGTCTTATATGTTGATTGACTTTTTATTAAAGTAACCTTCAATTACAAAGACGTTTCTAAAAATAATGGAACCATATTGATTTGCACACCTCAAATGTAGCATCATATAGGCAACCGTGATTTCAGTTTGCAGTGTACATGATGTATCTAAGCGGCAGAGACGTTGTACATATGCTGTGTGTCAAATTTAAGTGAGCAGCCTACCTAGACAACATTTGTGAGAGCACTATGAGCATTTGACTCGATTGCGCCCTCAGGTTCCAAAACTGCTTTCTATGTAGGAAGCTCAGCTGCACACAAGGCAGTGAGACACAGCCATAGAGGGACATGAAACGTGCGGCGCATCTGTGATGCTGATCATGAAGAAAAGGTAGAGACACCGCGGCTGAACATCGGATGAGGGTAAAATCACGTCTGTGAAGGTATAGTGTTTTTTTCTTTTGATCAGATGGCTGTTTATTCGACAAATCGTAGAAAAAAAATGTACATTGTCGTTGACATGCTTATATATCATATCAAAATAAATCACTGATTCTGCGGGGGTTCTTTGAAATGTGCCGATTTTATACATGGCGCCTAATGTTTAATTAGCTTTTTATTTATAAAACAGATACACGATATATTTGTGTTTTGCTCACAGTATCATGTTAATTAAAATACCTGAATATTGTTTCAGTATTCCTTAATTGTTTGAGTTTAACTGTTATATATCCCGTTTCCGCACGCTTGCATCTTTTGAATTGTTTATCGACTGTCTATATTTGATATTCGTGTGAATTTTCCTATTCTTATTGATGTTTGTCGTAGCAAGCACAACAATAGGGGGCGCTATCGGTCTTGTCTTGATGGCCAGGTCCTCCTCCTTTATTAATTCAGTAGTAATGAATGAAAACATCACGCTATATTTATCTGTTATTTACCTTTCAGTATTGTCATTCGGCTAACCTTAATGTGACACTGGCTGTGTCTGGAATACCTAACGAGCTGTCTACCTAGACAGCATTAAGGTCATCATCATACCCACATTATGAGCCATCTTATGATGCTCATACAATGGTGTCCAAAAATGCTGCTCTTGCTCGCTAGATTTTGAGAGACAGCCAGTGGTACCCTCAGTAGACATCACGCACAGATGGTTTACTCTGAGCTTTGAGCCTCTTTACAGTGCTGCCTTGTAGACCCAGAATCAAGCAGCATTGTACAGGGCTATGAAAGCACAGAGACACACTTCCATGTCAGCCCGGCTGTTTATGACGGATTTCTGCCAACCTCGAGTATATTTATTGGTGATTATTTTACAAGTATCATTGAGATTTACGCTTCTTTTAATTATTAATAGATTTGAAGCTTTGTTTAATCAGCCCTGTAATTGAACTGAAAAGTGATATTCGTATACAGACATTAGCTCATCCTGTTTCAATGTCTTGCAATTTGATTCCTGCACAAGTTTGAATAATTAAATATACTGTACGTAACTAGAAATCTCTGATTGGCTGGAAAATAAAAAAAATATATATATATATATATATATTATACATTACTAATAATATCTACTATCATGTGGTCTTTTTTGTCGCTCCTGATCTTTTCTCAGTGGGGAACAGCATCATTCGTTTGGATGTTTACCAGATAATGCTTTGAATTTTGGTTCATGCTGGGATCACATGGCTCAGAAAGATGATATGCCTCTCTGAACCAGTAGTTAATTTACTTAATTGCTATATTTATTTACAGCAACAGACAGCGTCCATGCTGTTGGATTGAGTAATGTTGCCAGACATCTATTGGCATGTGACAAAAAGCCTATGCTGTAATAAATAATCAAATAACAAATATGGTAAAAACTCTGTAGACACAAATTAAGTTTTCTAACAAAAAAAAAAATGTTTTATTCACAAATAGCAGTTCTTTCTGCATCTCTTGTTTTATACATGGCTTGTGGGAGTGGAGATGGTGTTGGGAAGGGGTTGCAGGCACTTGAAGAGGACCTCAGTGAGAACAGCTGGAGCAGGGCTGGAGACCGTTCTCATTGCACGCTGTGCACTTCAGGGCTTTGAAGGAGTCTGTGAAGCAGTTGCGAAACACAGACATTTTGCTGCCATGGCACATAGGGCACGGGACAAAGGCAAATCCCCCACACGTCTGGCATGTGTCGGGGTGCTGAACCCTCTACGATTGGACAGAGAGAAATGGGAGTGAATTTGAATTAAACACTGGACCCGTGTGCAGATGCTCTTTATGATACAATCTGAGTGATGCTTTATTTATATATTAAAAAATAAGACAAGTACAAGCTTGACTTTATCTAATATTTTGGGCTGCTCTGCATTGTATGTTTTATTATTTTATTTTATTAAAAAGTGTTTGTAATTAGTGACACTATTTGTTTGAGAATAGCATATAGAAAAGTATTTAAATGTATGCATGTGTAGAAAATGTAATGAAAATAATATTAAACACTGATATAGTTACAATGTATGTGTCAAGAGATATAATGACCAGCAATAATAAACCTTTCCTCTCACAAGTGGTTCCGTTTTCCTTGACAGAATAAACTATGGCAATAAACCAGATTTGGCTTTACTTGAGCAATTAGAACTGGTGTCTTTCTGATGTAAAAACATATATATGTTGGCTATTGGTCTATACTACACTTAAAAATAATGGTTCTTTATTGAAATTTATGGTTGAACCTTTAACATCCATGGAACCTTTTAAATGCACAAAATGTGCCTTATAGTGGAAAAGTGTTCTTCTGATTTTTTAAAAAACTTTTCACACTACACCCTTAAAAATAAAGGTATAGGGGTTACTGCAAAGATGCCATAGAAGAACAATTCTGGGTTCCCTAAAGAAACTTTCAGTGAACAGTTCTTATAAGAATCTTTGTGTGTGTGTGTGTGTGTGTGTGTGTGTGTGTGTGTGTGTGTGTGTGTGTGTGTGTGTGTGTGTGTGTGTGTGTGTGTGTGTGTGTGTGTGTGTGTGTGTGTGTGTGTGTGTGTGTGTGTGTGTGTGTGTGTGTGTGTGTGTGTGTGTGTGTGTGTGTGTGTGTGTGTGTGTGTGTGTGTGTGTGTGTGTGTGTGTGTGTGTGTGTGTGTGTGTGTGTGTGTGTGTGTGTGTGTGTGTGTGTGTGTGTGTGTGTGTGTGTGTGTGTGTGTGTGTGTGTGTGTGTGTGTGTGTGTGTGTGTGTGAGAGGAACATTTTAATAATCTAAATAACTTTTTGCAGAATGGAAAGGTTCTTCATAAATTTTGCAGATCTCAGTTCTCAGTTCATAGATGCCAATAAAGAACCTTTTTTTTGGTTCTTTTAAGAACTGTTAACCCAAAATGGTTATTCTCTGCAGAAAGTACCTTTTGGAACATATATTTTAGTGTTAAATATCAATATGTAGGCCTACCTCAATTTTGGTGAGGAGATCCTGAAGCTCCCCTAATTCATTCATCGCAAGTATTTTCTCTGCGCCCTGGATGTGCAAAACATATGCAAATAATTATTCAGAGTTCAAACATTAGCATAATGATGTTCAGTATGAATAGTTTGAACGCTGACCCCTAGGTAGTGTCCATCAATGAAGACCACAGGCAGAGAGGGAGGTTCACCCACTCGTTTGCAGCGGTTCTCCAGTTCCTTTCCGTAGTCACTGTCTAAAGCGATGTTCTTCTCTATGAACTTCACCCTGTGGTTCTGAAAGATCTTTCGGACCAGCTCGCATCGCTCAAATGTAGTCCTGACCACTCGAAAACTGGTGGTGTAGATTACAATTCGCCCGAACTCTAGAGTCAGTTCTGGCTGAGAGGAAGAAGACATAGAAGTCTGGTGTTAGACAAGAGTCTCTCTCTCTCAAAGTTATCAATCACATCTCATTGATTCCAAGAGTGAGCAAAGGAATTTGCAACAAAACATTCAGAATTAAAAGAATGGATCAGTTCGATATCTTTAAAGCGCAGTTCTAACTGCAACTGAAAAGTAAAATAAAAACTATATTGTACAAGATTTTCAGCAGCTTTTTGCAGGTAACATGAGGCAGCAGTTGAACAGCATCTATTGATTTTGTGAGTCACTGTTCCTGAGACTGACCTTCAGCATTCTTTCTTAGAAGAGCAGCTTCCATGAAGTGTAAAGCTGTTTTTTTTTTTCTTTGCAAAGAACAAAAATAGACTCAACCTCCACACATTTTAAAGTGAGGATGGACGTGCTGTCTTGTGCAATGTTGTGTTTGGCTGATGTGATCTTACTAGCAGCTTTTACTAGTTGAGGAACAATTCTCAAATTCCAATAACAACACTATTACAAACATAGAGCAAATACAGTAGCATTGTAAGTCAAGCAGATTAAAGCATGGAGTGCCAATAAAACCTGCAGTAATTTAATTTATAGTGCACTTTGATCTACAGCGAGCGCATATTAAAGATATTGTCACACTTCAGATTTTTACCATCCTTATCTGACATCAAATAGCAGCTCATAAATCGTTTACACATTGGTGATGTGCTTTAGCTGCTTTGATAAATAAAGATTCAGTGTTGCAGGAGAAGAAAATACAGTGTATCCAATGCATTTGGACAGGATATTTAGGGCCTGTTTACACATGAAATGACCAGGGCCCAAAGCTTTGACTTAAGTGTCAAAAAATTATTAGTAAAAAGTAGGACTTATGAGGGTAAGAGACTTTTAGAAAGAAGCTAAAAGCAACTTTCAGCGAAGTCTAACTGACTGAGGTGGCACTTAAGTGTTGCAAACTAAGGACTACAATGACGTCAACCCAAAATGGCCGCCCTCAACCACTGAATCAGCCTTTATATTCTTAGAATATATTTATATTCTTAGAATTTAAACATTAAAATTAAAAATTTACTCTGAACAGCTTTATACAGCTCCAGAGATTTAAATAGCAATATTGTGGCACTAATCACACCAACATAGAGGCCAAAAGTGTTGTGCAAATTTTGTTTTGTTTTTTGTTTTTGCTTAAACCATTACAATGTTATATATATATTAATATTTGAAAATACCAATATTTTAAAATACGAAAGAGGAACAAAACAAGAAGGTTATCTGACCAATTTATCTGGCAAAAAAGGCAAACTACAGCTACAGGTTTTAGGGGGAAAAAGCTAGGAAAAATAATGCATTGGCAACAACATAATCACTTACTAATATTTCACTTGTTCTCTCTTGTTTTTGCATTTGCTCATAATTTCTTAGCATGATTTTGCATGTTTCATTGATTTCATTGCATTATCACAAATAAAACACAGTATGCTTACACAATCTTTAACACATTTTCAAAAATATTTAGATAAAGGGTGAAGATGTCAATTTTCCTATAGGCTGGTCAATTTTTTTGGCCACTGCTGTCTGTATGGCAGTTGATTGACTTTCCAACTGATCTTCAAACCATGCGGCGAAAGCAAGCCACTTTTATGAGGATTGCACATTTCCCTGGAGTCGCTGATGGAGCTAATGTTCGCATCATTGCTCTAACTATAAATGAGGAGACATATCAATATAAAAGGACTCCGTAGCATCAACACTTAATTAAAATGTAAATATCTAAATAAATGTTTCAGTGATCTTAATTAAAGGATTTTATAAAATACATAAAATGATTGGTGTCATGCTGCTGTGACTTCATCCTTTGCAGGCTCACTATTGGATGATTCAGAGATTGAGGGCAGCCATTTTGGGTTGACATCATTGGTTGACAACACTTAAGTGCCACTTCAATCAGCCTAGACTTTGCTGAAAGTTGCTTTTAGCCGCTTTATAAATGTTTCCTAGTCGTAGACAAGTCCTAATTTTTACTAAGAATTTTTTGACACTTAAGACTATTCTTAAGAGCATTTCTGTGAAGTTTTAACATACGGGCCCTGGTGTAAATGCCCTCCGAAACGCATTTGAGAAGGATTTAAATCCGATCGCTCAAACCACTTCAGGAGGTGGTCTGAGATGCAATCCAGACAAAACTGAACAAGTCTAAATGCATCCTCCTCCCAAATACTCCTCCCAACAATGCTAAAAATAAAGTGTGTTATAGGCTATATGACGTGTTGTAGCCTGATGTGACACAAATGAGCAGCTGAGCATCTCTTCATCAAGCCACCGCGCAAATAAAACTGAAAGTAAGTCGCAGACGCTCAACACACAATCCTCTTCATTAAAAGTAAGGAAACTAAATTATCTTACCAGTGATTTAATTAGAACACGCTTTTACGTGCCTCAGAAAAAAGCAGCACTGGTGTGCATATTGAGAAAAAAACAATAGCACTGACATATTTTAAGAAGTTGATTTCAGTTAAAACAGCTCAAACATGCATTTTAGTCTGGGACTAAACATGCCTTGTATGTGAAACTGGGGGTATATGTAGTTTTCATTGGGTTTATGAAAGTCCATTTAATCCCTGATTACCCCCTGTTAAAAATGATATTACAGATTTCAGACTTAAGCTTTCAGCAACTGTTTTAGTGCTCAACAACAAAGCATAGGTCAAGAGAATACATTAAGATGATTAACTTAGCCAAAACACTTAAAGAAATGCATCATTAATCTTTAATTGTACAGTGATCTTGCTCAGTGGGACAGCTTGTTTGTCTGACCAAAACCTGAGAGAAGGTAACAGGCTCTGTAACCAATAGCGGCTGAGGAAGCGGGAGAGGTTCTGACCCTGTTAAGGACACAAGAAACAATTCTTGAAAGCTTTTGAGCAGCTGTCAATAGTCTGATAATGGCAATGTTAGCCGTTTAATGTGCATTGACGTCCACCGTCAGGGATTCAAGATTTTAGAGATGCTTGAGAAAGCTGACGCTCTATGACTTACCCCATTGTTTTTAGCCAAGTTATCAAAGCGTATTTGGCCAGCACTGACTTTGTGCTTGACTCCTCGAACCGTTCCATTTTTACTGAGGATATTCACTCGTTTGGTACCCAACACTTTGTCTCTTCCCCCTGCAAACATCAGCAAGTCATCGGGCTCACTTCCGCTGTCATCCAGCTCCGAGCCCAAGAATCCACACAAGTGTCCGTTCGCCTCCCCGGTGGTGGATGGAGTGCTGGCCCGGTCTGCCTCGGAGCAGCTGGTGCAGTCTGAATCCAGGGAATCCGATGGCCCTTCATCCTTAAACATCTCTTTCAAAACCCGCCCGCTGTTCCCTGAGGCCACCCGGAATCTCACCCTCTTCTGCCTCTTTCCATCCTCGGGTGTCAACGAAGCCTCCTCCATTGCGTCGACTTACATGGTCCAAAAAGAAAAAGCCATTTTAATCCCTCGGATTCATGGGTGGATGAATATAATTAGCCCCGGTATTGCTCCATGATGTCCCCTGGAGCCCAGGCAGAGCGAGCAGACCTGGAAAGAGGCAGATCTGTGCGTTACCGTCAGCTTCACCACCAGTGTTCCTGTACATGTTAATAATGCATGTGGCCTTGCCATGGTTACTGAGAAAACCGACCATGAAGAAACTGATAGTCTTTTTAAATAATTTATCATGCCATAGATTTGTCTCTTTTTGACAATGAATAGCCTTGACTCATGTCTATGTCATGTCAAAAGTATGCCTGTCTTTGTGACCTTTAGGTGTAAAGAAAAAAATCTTTCATTTACTCACACTTTCATTGTATGGACAAAAAAAAAAAAAAAAAAAAAAAAAAGTTCTACAGTAGAAAGAATCGGTCACACTTTAGATTAGGGTCCAATTCTCACTATTAAATTACTATTAACTACAACTTTTGCCTCAATAAACTCAATTACTGCTTATTAATAGTCAGTAAGGTAGTTGTTACATTTAGGTATTGGATTAAGGGATATAGAATAAGGTCATGCAGAAGTCATTGATACAGTATGTGATTTATAAGTACTAATAAGTAGACAATATCCTAGTAATATGCATGCTAATAAGCCACCTTAATAGTTAGAATTGGACCGTAAACTAAAGTGTAACCAAAGAATCATACAGGTTTGACTTGATGACAGAATTTCCATGGTTGAATGTTTTTGGTTGAACATTCCTCTTTAAAAATTGTATTATGTTTGTAAGTTGAGACAGCAAGTGCATACATATAATTTGAGTACATTGATTTGCTCTGTAAGGTTTCACCAGCTAGACGTTCTAGTAAATCTTTTATGATTGCTTGTCAGCAAGATGGAGAAAACTTTTTCTTTTTAATTATCTACTGTGGTTCCCAATGGATCTCAGAGCTTCTTAATGCACTGCAGTTTCATGCCACTTAGAAGATTGCGCTCGGCCTGCATGCAAACATCTGCTGTGCTTGAGCATGATGGGAAATGGAGCTCAACTGTCATTGGCTGGCATTTTTGCACCCATCCGCCCTCCAGTGGGGGCTGCAGGAAGCATTGCAGCTGTTGTGTGACTGCTACAGCACTGCAGAAGTGGGCCGAGCCATATTGTGTGCCAGAGCGCTAGGCCGACTCACACCTTGTGTCATAGTTGATGTAAATGTGATACATTTTCTGTGCTAGAGAAAAGACCTTTTTAAGTGAGCATTTTTTCAAGAAATAAAAATGTCAAATTTAGCAAAGATTTTTTTAAATCATTTTTTATGTTAAAGATTTGTGGCTTGTTTTGATCTATTACTTTTGAAGTCATATTTGTGTAAATTGACGAAATTTTAAATTGACCATCTTCCATTTTCCTTCAAGAGTATTATACAGATTTGTCCAATCAAAATGCTCTCTAATGAAAATCCTTCTCCACAATACCACATGCAGCCAAATATATTTATACTTTCATTAATTTATTGGCAAATTAATATAGCACAAAGCATAAGTAGGTGAAATATTTAGAGAACAAATATATTAGAAAAATAAGAATAAAAAATACATACAAATTTGTTATGTCATTACGTATTTGTAACGCTCACCAGTGAGAGTGCCCTACATCAGAGGGCACTGCGACCCAGACAATCACCACACATCCACAGACTCCGGCCTTGTCCACACGGACACGGATATTTTTTCCTACAGCGTTTAAAAAAAAAATCACATCCACACATGCTCGGTCTCCTTCTACATGAAAACGCGAAAACACGCTATCAAGTGCGGTCAAGAGCATGCCACGCCAGCAGGTGGCGATATAAACCTTAACCGTAAAGCCACGTTGGCCAATCAGAAGCGCAAATCTGACGTCAAACACAGCGGATAACGGCGCACACTCTGACGTCGCAAGGCAAAAAACCCCGGTTTCACTGTCTACACGACAACACTGTAACCGGCGTTTCTGAAAATCCTCACCCTGGCAGGGGTTTTCAAAAATGTTCGGTTTCAGTGCGGTTTCGTGTGGACGAACGGCCGAACCGCGTAAAAAAAGTCATGGTTATAAAAATACCCGTGTCCGTGTGGACAGGGCCTCCATTCCCCTAATCCTTCACCAAGACTAATCAGACATGATCACATTCACCTGTGTCTCATCATCTTGTTTTCTCACCCTATATAAGCCTGGTTCTTTCTGTCATTCCCTGCGAAGTCTTGTTTAGTGTTACACTGCGATTCCAAGCATTCTCTCTGTTGATCCAGTGTTCTTGGTTTTTGATCTTTGCCTGTTTCTTGGATTCCCCTTTTTGCCTGTGTCCCCTGCCTTTTTGTTGTGTTTGTTTGTATGGACTGCCTGCCGGTACTTTGGATTACCCTTTCAAAATAAACTGCATTTGGATCCTCAACTTCCGTGTCTCAGAGCAGTTTGTGACAGTATTAAGTCATAGCAGCTTAGGATTTTTTTTATTTAAATAATTTAATTATTTATATAAAATATAATTTGGATACTAAATTGACTTTGGTGGATATGAATTTTCAAGATTCATTTTTTTCTTATTTATGTACTTTTACTTTACTAGCTAGAATATACACTTCAGTTCAAAGGTTTGGGGCCAGTAAGATTTTTTTTTTTGTCAATGTTGTATTTATTTGATCAAATGTAGAGTCAAAACAGCTGCGATATTCTGAAATATCGATAAAAAAAATTTTTTACGAGATTCTTTTTTTCAGGATTATTTGATGAATAGTTGAAAAGAACAGCATTTATTTGAAACATAAATCTTTTGTAACATTATAAATGTCTTTATTGTCACTTTTGATCAAATTAATATATTCTTCCTGAATAAAAGTTTCATTTTAATTTAAAAAATAAAATCTTACTGACCCCAAACCTTTGAACGGTAGTGTTTTTAATGTAGGCAACCAACTGACAAGCAAGTACAGGAAATCATAGTTTGTGACTGTAATGCAACACTATTGGCTCAAAGACTGAATATGTTGAATGTGTTTCAACAAGAAATACATCAACACAGGAAAGAAGCATTTTCATGGATCTGATTATTTTAAGGGCAGATTATTTTAGTTTTTGAAATTCATATTCTTACTGAAGCATCATATAAGATTACAAATAAGTTGTTTTATGAAGTAATGGCTTCAAAAAGCCATTATGGCAAATGACAGACAAACCTCTGGCAGTGGCCTCTTTGTGCCCTCTCATTTATCATGCTGCATCTGTCTGTTCTTAAGAAGTCTCTCAGCCACTCCCACAGTCAAAGATGAGATGTGCTTTGCATTTCAAATGGTAGCATGAGAAGAACCAAACAGCTTAAAACAAAGTCTCAGCATCATTTAGATGTCGCAAATCATCCAGTGAGTTCCTGCCTGTATATTCATGCAGTGATTTGCTGGTGCCTGATGAATATTGGGCTACATTTCATTTTGAAGTTCAATATATCATCCGTTTCCAGCCATATGCCAATATACTCAGATAGAGGCGTACGTTTTATTCATGGGCTTTTTCAGTTTCCTCAAGACTATATGGTGAACCATGATCTGGAGAGCTCATCTAAGTAGCTCTGCCCATGAACATTTAAATCCACCCTCATTATGCTCTTCTCTTATCTCCAGTTCAGAGTTTTCTCTGTGAAGTCAGTGCCAGTTTTGTCTGTTCCCAGGCATCTTTCACTCACTGATCTCTCACAAAATGATGTTATGTCAGAGTTTGTGATTGTCAGTGATCAGTGCTCAAGGCTCACGATGTCTATTCTTAATGTTCCTGAATCAACATCCTTGTTGATATGGCTAACATTGCTAACCAACCAGTCAGGCTGGATATGGTTAGCAGTTGGGTTTGAAGTATGATTGTTTGATCGGATTGAAGATTGATGCTTCAAGATCAGGACATTGACACAAGAAAGTATACTTGAAGAAATCCATGTGTATAGGAAGGTCTCTTGTTGCATCAAATGTTATATACAGTAGTTTTAAAGGATCCATTATAACTTTTTTTCTTTTTTTTATTATGTTTGTCTTTCATTGTTTGATAATGTTGAAAAAAAGTTTGTTTAGGTTTTTTATTATTCTCTATGATAAATGCCTAAATAGTGTTAAAATCAGGGAAATTCGACTTTGCACTTTTTCTAAGAACTTAAAAAATATGTCAGTTCAATTGGTAACTATTTGTACAATTTCTTGCTTTTCTATATAAAAATCCTGTTTTAAACACTGCTGTCATCACCATTGCACCAAGCATGATTAAGTCAAGGATCTCCATGAGTTAGAGTTGATTGACCCAACCAGCTCATCATTTTTAAGAACAATGCAGATTAATATAAATCCATGTTGTCTACAGAAACTTATTTTGCCTTAAATCCCATTCAATGAAGCATTTGATGTGATTTATACATATGGTTTAATAAACAAAATAAACGAGCTTCAGAGCCTGTGGCTCGGGATTTTATAAGAGGATTATTGAATTGTATGACTGATAAATAAGTTGTTGGCCTAAATATGGTTTAATACTTGTATAATTGAAAAGGTGCTCTCAGGCAATTCAAAATGTGAGGGTTCAATCTTTCATTACAAGTCCTACACCAGCAGGGGGCAGAGTCTGATCTTACTGATCAATGAATTGCTACACTCTATAGGTCAGGGCTGGGTTTCTTAAAACCATGTGGGAGCCAAGTTGATCATAGAGACTAGGTGCTAATGGGAAACGCGCCACGGCCTAGATTGTTTCCTCGTTCTGCAAGTTGCACTCAGTATTTTCCCTCAAATTTAGTTTTACACATAAATGAATGCATAATACTTTTGAAAAATATATTTGTAATCAGGTGCCCTCATATATGTTGAAAAATCCAGTCATTAGCCTAATAAAAGCTGCTTGAATTTTCAAATGATGCTGGGCTGACTCAAGGTCAAGGAAGCCACCATACTGAGATCACATGACCGGGTGGGAACTACTTGCTACAACACTAAAAACAATGGTAAACTGAAAATAGTTGCTGAATTTGAACTGTTTTATAAACTATTTACTAAATCAACCTAAATATATTAATTTATACCAACAAAACTATTGTTATGGGTTAAATCAGGTAGAAATGGCTTTTAAGATAACAAT